CGGTGTATCATCACGGAGACGTATGCCAGCTTTCGTTTTAGGCTCAGCGACGAGGGCCTGCGGCTCCGCAACGAGCTGGCGGAGGCCAAGAAGCTGCTGGGCCACTCCGAGGCGGGGTCCGTCCGATGGGCGGCTGGGATTGCGACTGAAAAGCGGCCGCCGAGCTTTGGCGCGTCGGAGAGCCGCCATATGAATCAAATCAACCAAGCGGTTTATTAAGGCGGTGTGCTCCCAAAAAGCCCAGAAAAAAAAAGTGCTCAATTGTATTTTCGGAGTTCGAGCACTTTCTTTCTGCCCGATTGGAAACAAACAGTCTTGAGGACGGCTTGGGCCAAAATGCGCACCGCGTTTCGAGCGCAATTCGGCGCAACTTCGGGCGCAATCTCGCAAAACTCGGGCGCAAATCCGCGCAACCGAGCGCAATTTCAACAACTGCCCAAATTCTGGTCACTACACTAGCTCCAAGTCGCTGGCTCCCAGAAGCATTTCGGTCACTTTTTTTGCCAAAAACATTCGAACACAAAATTATGTATGAATTGGGCCTTCAGGAATGTTGACACCATATGGATCAATGTTTATTAAGATTGTTCTCCAAAAGTGATTCCCCACAAAAAGGGACAAATAAACTGTGGATGATTAACAGGGGGTCAACAGTTTGGGATTGGGGAATTGAACTGTGAACTGGTTCTTGTGGGTACATGGGAACCGCCCCCTAACTTCTGAACCAACCCAAACCAACCAATTGATGGGAAGCTGATCTATTCTTCCTGTTGTAAGCTGTCTAGGAGAACAGAAGCCCCTTGATTTAGGACAGTGTTCCATTGCTTATCTCCAAGGACTCAAACAAACGAGTTCGCTGTTGAAATGCAGAATGCAGTTACCCAAGGTTCAAGCAAATTGAGGGTAGCGGAGAACCCTGGTTTAGGACAATCCCCTTGTTTGAGCGAGCTCAAACCTTCTTGTGGCTTTCCTTTGAATTTGCCCACGGTCCATTTCTTTCACCCAAGTTTCGCCGACCCCCAGCTGGCTGTTTGCGCTCTTTGTATGGTTCTGAGCCCTTTTTTGGAGTCAGAACCGGAAGCCTTCCAAGCCGCCAGGGGAAGCGGGTGGACCTCCTCCAATCCATGGCCAACGGTCCTTTGAAGGGTAGCATCACGGCCGTGGCGAGCGACGGCTCGGACTGAGCCGATCTCGGCCGGCCGGCCTGGCCCCCGGCAGCTGGCCACCTGGTTCGGCCTAGGTGTTTCAGAAGTTGCCCGAAAATGTGATTGGGTTGAAAGTCAAAACGTTGTTTCGAGTTCTGCTAGATGGTTTGTGCTGGAAAGCAAACCCCGTAGAGGAGTTCCTCTTTGCTTTCGAACCGCCAAAACAAAAGGATCCTTCAAGAGTTGGGATCCAAATCCGGATCAGCTTGAAACAGTGTAGCACATGGCACAAGCGATTCTTTAGTTGTTGTGTGCTGAGTGCTGACTTTGAATTTGCCACAGGGGGCCAAGTTGGTACGCCGTGAGATTTGCAGGTCTGATCGGATAAGATCAGAGCTGAATTGTTCACCACCGAGGTTCGTACATGGAGCTTCGGGGTGAAAAGTGGTGTCCAAAACACAGGGAGGGTGGCGGTGGCCCTTTTTCTGCAAAAAACGGAGACCACAGTTTGAGTTGCACGGTCTGACTGGACCTTTCCCGTTTTGGAAGCCAAGTGGCACTTCAGTGGGCCTCATTCGGGGGGCTTTTGCCTGAGGCAAAGCATCCGGATTTAAAGTGGGGCCCAGCGCTCTCGAGCCCGGGGATTCAAGTTTGGAATTTGGAGGCGAGGGAGTTCTATCAGAGGGGGTCTGACAGAAGTTGACTCAATATTAATCAACCCCAGTTCCCTGGGTTTAGTGGGGAATCAGAACACTTTTGGGGGTGAACACCCTCCTAATCAATAAACTGGGTTGATTAGTATATGGGGTCAACATTAGGTTGGTGGCTTTCCAACGAAAGGGAGACTATCGTTGTTCTGAGACGGTTAATGGGGTCAGGATGTTTTGCTTCGTTGTATATTCTAAAGATGTGTAGTCAAATCCGGAGCAAAATCTGAACATATGATTTTGGGGCTTACCCTGGGGTTGGAAAAGCTTAGAGGGGATGATGAAAAAGGCAACCAACACCCTAATCTGCCGGGTTGATTCCCTTTTGATGGACCCTGAGAAGGCAATTGGGGTTTGTCTTTGGTAACTGTGTGGGTGACAATTTCTTCAGTGGCACCTTTTTTGTCTTTTTGTTTGGTGGGTTCCCCACCAAAGATTGTGAAAAAGCATCCCCCTTTTGTCTGCCAGCGTCAGGAACACAGACGGAAAGCAGGAGACAAGGTTGCATCACAATGTTGACGTTCAAAATGGCTATGACAAGATTATTTGGGAACCATCTCAGCAGTGGGTGGTAGACGTAAATGCTCACCGAAATGATGTCCACGAAAAGGGTTCCCAATGAAAGGTCAAACCCACATTGGGAAGCTCATGGTGATTTAGCAACTTGTGATCTGCCTATTTTATGGGCAGGTCCTTTACTTGGGGCTTGACTTCTTATGGCAGGTTTCGGAGTTGTAGAATATCATCAGTCCGCTTGCTTGGTTTACCCTTGAACGGGCGGTGCGAGGGCTCAAGCACGGCATTCGGTTCCTGTAGTGTCGTCGTCCACGAGCGATGACCATTACGCAAGAGCTGAAGGGGAACTGCTCACGCGCTGCTTTCGGTTGTGAGACCGGTCACCCACAGGTGGTGGCCAACAACAACTTGGAGCATCCGGCCTGGCTGCTCTTAGGTTTGACCTTTAACCCATTTATTTGTTTTGAACAAGCTGAAAAGGGACCGCCTGAATGTATCCATCACGTTGTTGAACTCACTTGAGTGTTGAACTATAGTAACTATAGTATATTGTTTGGGAAGACAATCTCAGTGGAAAACGAACAGTTTGCACTTTTGGTTGGCCAATCCACTCATGAAGTGTGTGTGTGTGTGTGGAAGGGGGGGGGGAACGTTTCCTCAGTCGACAGGTTTATGGATCCGGTCCCGGTCGACGCAGACTGCAATTGCCAGCTTCCCTTTTTGCAGGGGGTCAAAGACCAGCCGTGCCGGGCGTCGCATGAGCCTCAGCTCCAAAAACCGCGTAACAAGCGGCTTACGAACATCCGCTTGTCGTCGCAGAAGATACATATATCTCGCTGCGGCTGTGCCTGACACGTGCCTCTCTAGCATGTGCCAGGCGGGAGAAGCTTGCCTTCACTGCTTGATTCATATGCCTCTTACCCTCACATGAAGGTATTCGCAGAATGCAGCGCATCATGTATTACATCAGCGTTTTGAGCTTGTCATGTTGGACAATCTGCATAACAAAAAACAAATGGCAGCACACCAACTAGACGAGCGACAGTTGTGTTTGATCGTATTTTGTTGTTCTTGTATTCCATGCGCTGGTCATGCGTTGCAGAGTGTTAGGGTCTTCATCAGAGCATCCTCATTACACTGGCTGTGTTTGGTCGATGAGACTACAACAGCAACATGCTTCGACAACACACGCTCGTACTTGTCTCAGGGCTTGTTTACCCGAGTATTCATTTGTCCCTGAATAAAAATGAATTCATTGAAACTGTGATGAGCAGATCGCGCGACATGGGATTTTCCTTTATCTGCAGATCGCCTTGCCGCTAACTTGAAAGCTACCTTGAGCTCAGGTGTGAATTAGGGCAAGCAGCTCAACTTTTCATATTTTTACTGTACACCTAGTGCAGAGGCGGTGCTTGCTTTCGGCAACACCGGACACAAATGAAAGGCTTGGTAGAGAACTTGGCACTCCCAGTGACACAGATGTCGTGATCCAAAGGATGCTAAGTCTCTGCCATGTCTTGCAGCTTGGCGCTCACTCCGCGAAAGTGGTTTCCACAGCGCTGGCTGTTCCAGCCGCACGAGAGCCATTGACAAGCAGACCAAACTGAGGCTAAGTCGTTACTTACTTATTTTTCTCGTGTGGCATGGGCTTGACAATGAGATCGCAATGAAGAACAAATCTGTGGCTGCCTTCGTTGAAGTCATTGGCAAGTTGGAACGGCACAACCGCCAGTAAACAGGCTGATGAATTTCACAAGGCGGATACGTGAACCGTGATGTTTGATACGAAAAGAAGGATGATGCCAAAGCCTTATTTTATTTAGCCTAGAATGATAGTCGTACATTTGCTTGTCGAGTCAGGACGATCTGGTACCAACTCGGAGCAGTCATTGCGGCACGCAGCATTTGTGGAGTTCTTGCCCAAGTCAATAGCTGAATCTGTACATGGTAGAACCCAAAAATGACAACCTAGCCCTGGCTTACATTGCTGCAAGCTTGCACAGAAAGGTGTGTGAATATTGATATGGTTTAATTGAATCATGACACGACACTCATCTATTCCCTTATGAGCATCACTGAACTGGGTTTTAACTTTCCCACCACCCCATTCATTTGTTTGGGATTGGTGTTAGAGCCCAACATGGGCTCGACCTTTGCTTGCGGTGGCCTTGAAAGACGTTCTTCCTGCCATAGATTTCCGTGGGTGCTCTCGAAAAAAGAGTCCCCTCAACTGGTTAGTGTCCTGTTGGTTTCAATGGAAAAATACCAACCAAGAGGGGTCTATTTTGAGAACTCCCACATGAGCAGTGGTTTTCTTGCAGCCAGCCAAGGTTTTCACCAGCCGAAAAGTCCAGGTTTATTGGGCGTGGCAACCCTACGAACTTTGGTTTCGGCCGGCGGGGGATTCCGTGTGTTTGCCAGGGGTATGACCGTCCTATGGTGTTTCTCCATTCTTTTCAACCATCCTAAAAGCCAGCTTTGTTTTATTGGTTTGTGCCGGCTTTGTAGAAAGAAGTCCAGATTTCCGTGAAATGTGGCAGTTACCCCTAGAGGTCTGTCCTAAGCAGCCCAACATCCACAGGGCATAAGTGGAAATTACCCCCAGAAGTTCATCAAGTTCCCTGCGCTTGAGGTGGACGGCGGGTCATTGGACAGCTCCCACATTGAAGGCTTCCGCTTGAACGAGGCCCGGGGCATCGCATGCCTCAACCCCAGGTGTAGCCTGCTAGCACCGAATTTAGGGTCTATGGCAGACTCTTTAAACATCCGACACTTCCTCTTTTTGTTCCCGTTCAAGGGTTGCAATATGACGCCCTCCAACAGTTTTCCGTGCTCAGAAGATCACTTGAAAGGATGGTCGTTTTCAAAACCCCTGTTGGTGTCCTTGATTGTTGGAGGTGGTACGCAAGTTTCGTAGGATCCCACCCTGCCCTTTCCCCGATTGCCTGGTTCGGAAAGCAGACATTGGACACAAAATGCTCATGGGGGAAGGTTGGGATCCACTTGGCGCACTAGTTTCGTCCAGCCCCTAGTAAGGTAAAAAGGGCTCTCCAGGTAATTCCAGTGGGGCTCTTGGTGGCAGATGTTGTGGGTGGTGGGAAACACTGCTTGTCCTGTCTATTCGGGACCTTTGTTCTGAGGAAGGTAGATGTATTGCCAACGATGCAGGTCTGGTCATGAAAGTCCAATGCGGGTCGCCTGAGATTCCATAGCGCTGAAACAAAACCCTAGGCGTTACCCCCCAATAAAAGCAAGGCAAGGACCCAGTTTCGGTGATGAAACTCGTTAGGTAAAGAATGGTGTTTATATTCGTCCCATTGTTTGTGAATGAAGGGGGGAATCCCAAGGATAGCATTGGCGGGGTGTTTCTCATAAAAGTGACCATTTTATGTGTTTGGTGTCCATCCAGTTTCCTCTCACAACCATACTGAAGGATGCCCCTTTGAGAACCTCCCGTGTAGATCTGGATTTGTCTCAAAAGGTGTCCTTTGCTTTGGTTTCCCATCAAAAGGATACCAGCTCCAAAAATCAGACACACGCACACACACGTCACCCAATCCCCACAAGTGTAGTTTATAGTTTTCCCTCAACACGGTCACCCTGCAAATACAATGACCACACCCCCGCCCCCCCTGGTCGGAGGTCATGAACCTGTGGTACTACTCCAACGCGGACCCTGCTGATCCCACCCAGGAGGTTCGAAATGGAGGCGCGCGGCTGCCGGCCCGCGCCTGAGCTTCCTGCTGGGATAGAACGGGCTCGGTACCCTTTTTTGGGGGTGGTTCAAAGGGTGCTGCAACATGTTTGAACAAAGGATTGGCTCCACCCTCCTGGGTTGGATCATCCCCAAAGTTCTGGATGGAGTGCAGGAGGGTACCCTTTGTGGGCTTTTGAAAGGCAAACCAAAAGAAAGGCCACCATTTTTGGCTTGGATAGTTTGGATTGTGGTCCCAAAGTTCCGGCTGATTGAGCAATATGTTCAGTTCCCCCAAGGAATATTCGCCTTTGCTGCTCACTTCCGGCAGGAACCGCAACCGTTTGGAAGTGAACACCACTGTTCATAAAGTACTCCTGGACAAAAACAACATGACACATTTGTTTGATGAGCATTTAAACCAGGCTTGGTACTGTTCTGAGATTCGGGATGCGTGTTACTCAGCAGAGCCAGCCTGAAAAGCACTGAAAATAGACTGGGCAAATTATCACGGTTTCTTGAAACCAAGAAATCTCAAGTAAGGGACCTGCATCATGGGCAAATCCGCTGATGGTTTCTTCCTCGATCTATGCCAGTGGATCCCAGTTTAGTCGCAGGCAACCGGCCGTTTTCGTTTTGGTGTTTACAGGATGGTTCCAATGGCTACACATACAGGAGATTGGAATACTGCGTCCTAAACCTTGGTATGGTAGCAACAAGCTTTTTGTTGCTCCCCCACCAACAATGAACAGACCCCGATGACTCAATTAGCTAGAACAAGTAAACAGAAAAAACACGGGCAAGGAACTGGGCTTTATTCATCCCAACTGGTGGCGATGGGCTTTGATTTGCTCCATTCCGAGGCCTTCTCTCTGCGCCTGCGGGCTCCGACCACCTTGGCCGCTGGCCTGGGAATTGGGCGAGTGGGCGAGACCAACATGGTGTAGACCTACATGGGGGTGTCTCAACGTCCCCTAAACTCGTTGGTTTTTCGTGTTTGGCTTCCCTTTTGAGACCAACCAAAAGGGTGTCCACCGTTTTCCTCCCAGCGGGTTGTCTAGTGCATTTCTCTTTCTACACCTTCCAAAGTGGGGTCCGCTTCACATGTTACGGACCCCTGATGCATCTGTCACCTGTCTTAAAATGGGGAAAGTGCTCCGGATCTGCATGGATGCAGAACGGGCACCGACTGCAAAGCATAGCCGCCTGGAAGGGTTCCTGAGACACGCCCATTAGCACGCCAATGCAAGGACATTTCGACATTCCCGTTGTAGCCTATAGCGCTCGCAGGCGTCACTATATACGCAGAAACATTATATAGACATGGAAGGGTCATGTGAGCCACAATCCAAACCTGCGTAGATGAAGGTTACTAAGGGACGCTCCCAACCATAAATAGCTGCTGCCGCCTTCTTAATTCTTTACATGGTTGCGGGTCGACCATCTTAATACCGTATTTTGATTATGACTCATGTGTTTCTCCCATCCTGCTTGGAGGTCGCATATGCCTTAGCCCCCTCTGCAGTTACCCCGCGTCATGTCCTTGCGACCACACGCCGCCACCTACAACGGGGCCAGCTTCTGTGATGCCAAAGGAATCCCATCAGTGATAAAGTTGGTGTGGGGATCCCCACTTGGATATCATAGAAAGTGTATTGTTCCACAACCATGACCTGCAACACTGCAATTGAAGACACGCATTTCGACATTCCTGAAGCAGAAAGGCCGTACACACAATGAAATCCCACCGCAAGAAAACCAAGAATCAATCAACAGCAGGTAGATAGCAGATGGCTAGTGGCGGTTTAGGGGATTGATTTGGGACATGTTTCAAGAGGCTCGGGCCCTCTTCCAGCGGCTTCAATGGGCAACAGACTTGTTGGTCGATGGTTTATGAGAAGTTGGCACGGGTCGGCTGGAGGGCCCCTTTTAAAGTGAGTTTCCTTCAAGTGTGGTGATGTTTAAGGAGAAATATAGGGAGCCATCTCCCGACCCTCAGACATACAGCGCTAGTGTTTTCAGCTGCCAGTACATTTCATGCCTTCCCTGGTTTCAAGAGCCAATGTTGAGGCATTCGTCGTTTGTCCAACCAAAAGGGGGGACCAAACAAGCAGGAAAGATATTGTGCGTTTGCCAATTGTATAAGTACGCATCATAGCAAGTGGGTGATGGCAGGCAAATCCTTTGCTACCACCAGTCGATGCACTTCAAACTTAGGGGCTCTCCCACGCATGGGGCTTCCCCTTGATTTCCGTGAAAGACAACCTGGAAAAGGGCACCCTTAAAAGCCACACACCCTTATTGCTTGCTCATCACTTTGGCCTTAGAGAATCTTACAAGCGCGTTCTATTGGATTACTCCCTGATATTTGCTGCCAATTTCATCTGATGAGCTCACCTGAGGGTAACATGAGCACTCCGTGATATTGCCGCTTTACTTGGGGATTCCTTCGTTTCATCGTTGTTTGCACATTTTGCAAATAGTATATCTGCCACTGTCAACAGTTTCTCTTGCTTGAGATTTGCAAGGGTCTTGCATCCTTTCATTGTAGGCTAGACAACAATACATAGTTTCCTGTAAGGGAGCCAACACCACGAAACAGATGTTCAAAGATTCGAGCATGGTGGCATGTGGGCGTGTCTTGAAAGGAGGACACCTCTTGAAAAAGTGGAAGCCCTCTTCCCTCAGAATAGAAGCAGAGCACACTTGAACGAATGCTCATCAAAGCTTGGCGCTTATGAAAGTGCTCCGAGCCAGCGCTCAGGAGATGGGGGATGAGATTCAGATCATCTCTCCCTCGGACTTTTATCTTTTGGACTCGCTGGGGCCGGGCGTCCCAGCATTTACTCTTCAGATGAACCTGGGTGTGTTTCAAGATAGAGGAACCTGCAGAATGGGTGTTCCTTTTGGGTTCCCTTTGAAGCTACGTACGCCAAACATGGGCGCAAACGCACGAACGCACACATACACATACACGGCACACACAGAGACACACAGACACAGACATATAAAAACACACAGACACACACACACACACACAGACACACAGAGACACACAGAGACACACAGAGACACACAGAGACACACAGAGACAGACAGAGACACACAGAGACACACAGAGACAGACAGAGACACACAGAGACACACAGAGACACACAGAGACACACAGAGACACACAGAGACGCACAGAGACACACACAGACACACAGACACACAGACACACACACACAGACACAGACACAGACACAGACACAGACACAGACACAGACACAGACACAGACACAGACACAGACACAGACACACACACACACACACACACACCCACACACACGCACACACACACACACCACACACATGCCCACGCGCCCGCGCCAGCGCCAGCGCCAGCGCCAGCGCCAGCGCCCGCGCGCGCGCGCGCGCACACGCGCACGCACACGCGCTCACGCACGCGTGCCCGCACCCGCACACGCACACGCACACGCACACGCACACGCGCGCGCACACGCATACGCACACGCACACGCACACGCACACGCACACCCACCCACACACACACACACACACACACACACGCACACGCACACGCACACGCACACGCACACGCACACGCACACGCACACGCACACGCGCACGCGCACGCACACGCACACGCACACGCACACGCACACGCACACGCACACGCACGCGCGCGCTCGCGCACGCGCACGCGCGCGCGCACACGCACACGCACACGCACATGCATCCGCACACCCGCGCACGCACACGTACACGCACACGCACACGCACACGCACATGCACACGCACACGCACACGCACGCGCACGCGCACACGCACACGCACACACGCACACACACACACAGGCGCGCGGACAGAGAGACAGCAGGCAGGAAGGCAGGCAGGCAGGCAGGCAGGCAGGCAGCCAGGCAGCCAGGCAGCCAGACAGGAGGGCTCACATTTGTTGGTTGACCCCCTGTTCGGGTGTTAGGGCAGTCCCCCCTCCAAGGTTCATGGAAGCCACAGAGGCTGCATTCTTTTTGGTGAGGCCCCTGTTTACTACTATTGTGGGAAGAGCAGATCTTGCGAGAATACCGGCAATGTTAACAACTGCGGCTTAGACTGGCTTGAAAGGCTGGTTACCAAAAATGAGCTATGTTTCAGGGTAGACCAACTGTGAAGCAGAATCTGACCACATCATTTTTGATGCGCCCCAGAAATTTTGAGGGAAGCTGAAACACCAAGTTGTTGAATTTCTCTCACGGGTCCGCCAGGAAGTGCCGTGGTTTCCGCTGGATCGATGCAACGGCAGGCCCGGATTCGGGTCGGAAACGGGAAGCGCCTCAATAGGGGGACCCCAACACGGTTGATGTTGTTTGCTGCTTCCTTCTCAATCCAACCACTAGAAATAGGTGTGTTTGTGTGTGTGTGTCTTTTGGAGTTGGTGCCCTTTTTACCTGGGTCTACAGGAGGATGCGAAAATGAAGCCGTAATTTTGCTTTTCTCATAGTTGGACACAAGCCTAAATAGGACAGCTTAGGTGTGCCCGGGCGCGTGCGTGTGTGTGTGTGTGTGTGGGCCAGAGGAAACAATCTTCGAATGCGTTCTTTCCTATTCGCTTTCAGCAAACCTTTGAGTAAATGGTTGACTTCCCTTGGGCAAACTAGCATCGACATGTTGCGGTTGCCAAGTGAAGAAGCTACCAGGCCGCAGAGGATATTCATTACAGGCCACTATCTCCAGGGGTATGAGGCGTACATATATAAGATACATGTAGAGGCGGGGCGAAGCACGTTTAATCATGTTTGTGCAATTGGGCCAATTCGTTCAAAACGTTAAAGCACTGTTCTCGAGGTGCTTGTCTGAGCACGCTGACTATTCACCGCCATTCATGGAGTTGCTGCAGGGTGGAGGCTTTCTTTTAGCGCAACATACTGCCCTCACGTGTGTGATGCAAATCCAATGAAAGCAAAGAAGAGGCCAATGAAGAGGAACGTGGTGGACGTAGTGGGGAACAGCAACACCGAGCCCCCCTGCTGCTGTATTGCCCATTGGCAACACTCAGCCCGGCGAGCTGGAGAACCGGAAGAACCAATGCTGCGTTCACTGCACACCCGGTCTTGGTGGCCGGCCAGACTCCCATGTCCAGAAGGTGCTCGAGAATGGAACCTCTTGAGGAGGCACCTGGTAAAGGCGCACAACAGACGCAAGGACACGGAGTTGAGGCAGGAAAACGCACCATGAAAGAAGTTACCCAGTGTGATAAGAAGATGAACGAGCTCCAATTACCACTTGCAACAAGGTTAGCCGTCGCTAACTTTGAATTGGGCGTTTAATGGCTGCTCGAGCACCCGCGGAAGTGGCACGATTGTCCAGAACCAGTTGAGAGCTCTTTGGAAAACAATCGAAGGAGTTGTTTTTTGCGCTGACTGTTGGAACTCGTTTGAACATTTAGGATGTTTAAACGCGTTTGTGCAGGGACAGGCGTTTAAACCGTTGATAACACGTGAGTGGCCCCACTCTGGTATACATTATTTTCTTAGATTGCTATGCAGCGGCTATATACGCGAGTTTCTTCTGGAGGCGGTTTGGGTTGGTGGGCATCCTCTTGGTATTTGAACAAGGGTCAACAGGCATCGTGGCAGTCAGCACTGGGACGGCAAGAGGCTTGTACTGAAATGCGCTGAGGTCACCTAGGTCTACCAAACAACGACTTGCCATAAAAGACATTCCAAGCAACACAAGGGATGGTGAAGGCCGAGGTCCCTGACGCGGTTTCGGTTTTAGGACTATCCCAAATGTTCAATCCAACCTGCACTAACCAGGTCACTGCGGGTTTGTCTGGGTTTGGTTGACAAATCCTTGTCCGCACGTGCCAGACATCCCGGTGGCCACCTTCACACCACTTCCCACCTCGCAAGTAGTGCCGAGCGCTCGGTGGACATGGGCAGGGCGTGTGGGTTGCAAGGTAAACCCCACATCTTTGCAATCTTTGCGGGGTGCACCCTTTTCATGGGTGGGTAGCGATGTGCTTCGTGAAGTGTGTAATTACTGTAGCCTTTGCACTGCTTTGAAAAGGTAATCGGTAATTCTGTCTTTGAGGTTCCCCGCTTTGAACCGAGCCATATGACAGTCTGATGCATTTGATGAACTCTATTACCCCATGCCCATGTGGCCAAAGACAGCATGGCCGTAGGGGGGCTGTCATCAATCCAAAGGTCTGATCAGGGCAAAGTCTTTGCAGAAGCTTGCAGTTGGCACCCTAGGCTTCAAAGTACTTTTTGAGACAATGGTTGGCCCACTTTGGATGATGACATTCCTTTGGTCAACAATGGTGGTTGCACTAATGGGGTTGGAATCCCAGGAATCAGGTTTGCAGATCTTGTTTTGCTACTTCTCTGCAGGGCACCGTGCCCCCTGCACGTGAAGACGTCGTTCTTGGGAAGGGCTTCTGGCGGCAGAGGTGAAGTTGTTAATTGGCATGGTGGTTTTTTGGTACCAAATCGCCCCTCAAGCCTTTTTGGCTACGCATGGCTTTCTCATGGAGCCTACAAAAGAGGATCGACCGAGGAGCCGCCCAGTTCCACCGCTTTGGTTTGCGTGTTATTGCTTTTTTGGAAGCAAGGAAGCAAAATGGACCCATCGCAGCATCAATCCCAAATTGTCATCCGCGTTGAGCCCCTAGACTAGCATCGAACCCAACCAGCCCTCAATGTGATGTTTTGTTCAGCTCACTAGTTTTGTGGGTGGCCAAGAAGTCTCACAGCTTTGCCCACCTGGCAGGCGTAACTAGCCTTGTAATGTAATTCTGGAATGTCGAGCCATCGTGGTCTCTGTCACTTGCGATTGCGGATACGTGGGTATAGCGACCAGATGCAACATTGCAATTGAGTTTGAGTCAGCAATCAGCTTTGCGTGCAAATACTCTTGTAGCCGACTGGTTAGCCAACCAGATGTCTGGCTTTTCGTATGAAGGTTGTTCAGCCAGAGCCGGCGGGAAATCAGAAAGGCCTATTAGATCTTGCAGTGAAGTGTGTTTTCCTCGGCAAGCACAAGATCACTGTTCCCCTAATTGTTAGCTTGGATTGGTAGTTGAGGCTTGGACCCGCCCCGCTTCTTCGTGATAACCACAAAGCCCTGCCAATGTTTGATACTCCCTGCACATTAAAATGCGTCCACCCAAAGGAGTTTCCTCCGCTTGTTGGGTTCCATCCCAAGCGTAGGGGAGTAAGATTTCGGAGTTCCGAGGTGCAATGCATCCTCGATCACCATTTACATCATGGAGCCCCAGCCCGTGGAACGGGACCGGCGCAAGCAAATCGAGTGGCACATGACCATGAGAGCTGACCGCGAGTCCCAGGCTGCAAATGCAGCATGCAATCACTGATGGTGTATCCGGAATCCCTGATGTTCAGAGTGCAGGGCTCAAGCACTTGACAACAATGTTCACACCAATACTTGTGGATGGCTGTCTGCAAGGGTCGATGATTCGATTGATGGACGTTGGAAGGAGGATGCTCGCTTGAGACGGACCTCGAAAAAGGGTTCCCCTGAACAGAGGTTCATTTGAGGGTTTTTTGGGTTCGAGCCCTGTGTCAAAGCGAAGCTATGGGCAGTGTGCTCCAGGATTACTACATCGAGTTTGGCCTTGACATCTACAACCCGTTGAGGACGGAGTCCTTGCAGCCAGAGATCAGTCGAGTATGCATTGGTTATGAAGCCGGTGCTTCTTGCAACAAGGCCCAGCCAGGATTTGCGTTTGACCGGTGTCTGTGTGTGTGTGCTTTTAAAAATGGAATCAACCCTTCTTGGGGTTGTTGTGTAGAGGGACACCCATAGGACTCCACCTCGGAGTTCCATATCAGTTTAACCCCGACTGGTGAAGCGGGTCTGTGACACAAACATGTCCGGCTTCCAAAAGGTTTCCCTTTGAACCAACTAGAAGAGTGGTGCTAACTCCAAAAAAGCAAGAATGGAGAATATTCATTGGTTTCCCTTTAAAATCAACTACCGGAAGAAACAAATAAAAAAGAGCACCAACATATTCAACAGAAACCCTAGCAAAACAATTCAATCACGTCATCCCTTGTTTTTGTTTATTGGCCCAAAACACGGTGCTGCAATTTTGTCCATGGCCCAAGTCGCCCGGTGATCCGTTGAGAAATGCGTTTGCAGGACGCCGCCGCTCACGGACAACTTCTGGCAGTGCACGGTGTACAGCCGCGGACCAAAGCGCGTGGCGAAAACCGACGGTTTGGTATTTGGATGGCTGGGGTCAAATTAATGTATATACCAAAATGGCACTTTGGTAAATGGAACCAAAGACTAAAACTAAAACCTGTGTCACCCCAGCTCTTTAATTGGTCAAAAATAGGTACCCACAATGGAACCCTGGCAAATGAAAACACAGACTAAAACCAGTGGTCCCCTGATAGTTTGATTTTGACCCATACCCATTTGAATTGGTGGGCTGTGAGGGGAGATGGGAACCCACCCCGGAAGACCACCAAATCACCTTTTTGACCCATACTGTTTGAAGTTTAAACAATAGTGGTTCACATGCCTGGTGGAGAGACGACCTCACCATGATGATGATCCCTTGCTAGGGATCCCTCATGTTAGTTTTTGAACATAGAAAGCTTGCTACAAGAATGCTTGCTACAAGAATGGCTTGGGATTTTCGGGCCCAGACAATGGCGGCTAAACTAGCCAAAGGGCACGAGCCTTTTCAGGTCCCTTTGAAAGCGCTTAGGTTCGGCTTTAAAGACTCCCGTGAAACAAACATGGGTTTGATGTCCAAGTGCGGAGCAGAGTTTGACCGTTCAGCTTTCGGACAGAAAGAAAAGACAAGGAGGCCAACCTATCTATCGCCCCAGGTAACAATAAGACTAGCAATGATAACGACAACAATGATAGACAGTAATGATACAAATTTGTAGATATGAGAAAAGATGTATCATGCTGTACCCATACACATGTGTATATATATATATATGTATATACTCATGTGTTATTCTAGCAGTGCGCGATGTATGCAAACACAGGCATATAATCATTTTTGTTATGTCCACATGGTAATCACCGCAGTTGATTGGCTTGGAAGCCGTTCTTGATTGCTTCCGCGGCTTGTGCATGCGAGGTGCCAACATGGACTCCAACGGCCAGCGAATCATCAAGGCATCCAAGGCGCGGAGATCGGCGAACACCAACCACAAGGGGGGCGGAGGGCAACATGATTTTGCGATGTCAAGGCATTCCCTTGCAAGAGCAGTGAGGGTAGGAAGTAAATTGTGATTTGCGCATTGAGTTCCCCCTTTCCCTCAGTCATTCTGGGACTCTGAACCAACCAACCCACCCACCCAACCCACCAGTTGAGTTATTTCCTTTCCCCGGCCCTTTCGCCAGGCCTTCCAAAGTTGGGACATCGTGCCGCAGCTGGAGAACCTGCAGGCGCCGAACTTTACTCTGCGATAGGATCGATCCGCGAGTTGAAATTCGCAAGAACAGATGGAGGGTTGATGTCCCACCAAGGTGTGAGGAACAGTTTCTCATTCAAATATGGATGTGCATATGTGAGTTCGCGATCCACATTGTAAAAGGGTTCCCCAGATTTTGACTGGATGTTTCCGACATCACCGATTAGGCTCTCAAGATTGGTGGATGTTGTGTTTGTTTTTCTCCAAAATAGGGGGGCCGCGCAACAGATGCGCGGATGCGCGGTTTGCCTACGGTATTTGTCTTGTTTGTTGTAGCTTTCCAGGTACCAGCCAGGTGGCTCTAGATGTCCAGATGTACATGTTACTCTTGGCAGTGTATGTATTGTTTCTACTGCGACTGCTGTATTTCCTCGTTGCGGTTGTGTTTGTCATCCGAAAGTTTCTTGCAGGTGCGGCTTCTGGGCCCGAACACTGCGGCGGAGACCTAGCCGGGGGACCTCAGGTGTCGTTTTGAACGTGACATTGAGGTTGACCCCGGATGAACAAGCCTCATGGATTGATACAAAGTACAATGACGCAGGGCCCATGAAACTGCCTCAAAGTCAATATATTATGTGGGTCGTTTGTTTTTTGTTGTAATTTACACTTTCAGCCACTATTTAGAGGGTAATTGTCAAGATGTCGGCCGAATGGGCTGAACTTTGAGCGCAAGGAGGCCGTTCTTGTTTGTTTGTTCTTTTCACCAGATCACGTCCAAGAGCCTCAAAAACCGATGAAAATGTCATACCTACAACAAACGCGATGTTTTTTGGGAAAACACGATGTTTTCGGGAAACACTGCATTTTCGATTTCAAGCATTTTCCCATACATTCCTTCAACTCGTCATCCGTTCTCAAAAGATCTCAAAAGCATCATCTCAACCTCAGAATCTCCCATTGCCCTCCCCTTTTGCGCTCGTAACGAAATCAGCTTCGCATTCGCCACTCGTCTTTCGCAACTCCAATCTGAAAGAAGGAGGCCGGGGACCCAAATAGTCAAAAGTACCACGGTTTTATGACACTTGTCAAGCAGCAATGCCATGATGAGGGCGTGCTGGCTTCGAACAGCGCGCAAGCTCAAGCAAAGACCGAACTCTTGCTCACGACTTCGTTGTTTTCCAGCAACATTCTCGAATTAGCGCATTCGTGGTTGAACCCGAAAAACCCATAGAATTTCCACGGTTTACCACGCTTTACTACGGGTTTTCCACGGTTTAGCTACGGGTTGGAAAGCACGATGTTTTCCAAAAACACGATGTTTTCGATTGGGGCTGCGGGTTTTCTACGGGTTTCTACAGGATTTCTACATGTTTTCTACCGGTTTCTGCGGTTAGCCGCCAGGATCCCGCCCCATTTTCCAAAAAATCCTCAAAAATCATGAAAACCTCAAAAGGCGTCCCCTGGTCTTGTTTTGCACCAAAAGGAGCTTTGGGATTCCAGCACCCCCTTCAAACTGGTTCGGTATGACCTGGCGCCAGTCTTCAGGTGCCTGTTGCTGTGAAGGTACTTAAAGACTGAAGCCAGCTGCGCACCCTGGCTGTCAGGCTCATCAATGTGGTCCTTAGAATTTGAAGCATACTGTACTCAGTATAGAGCGTTGCCCTCGGTTGAAATCTTAATGGGTGATGCCTGTGTGAATTCCACTCGACCCTTGCCTTTGACCCTTTGCTCCAAATGAGTGTTTGGCCTCAGAAGCCCATTTTTAAGGGGCTTTATCAAAAACACTATGTTTTTCCTGAAAACACGATGTTTTCAGAAAATCGAGAAAACACACGATGTTTTAGTCAGGGTACGACATTTTTACAGGTTCTTGAAGCCCTATGTATATACATATTATTGGCTCCAATCGAGAGCAAAGTCTTGCAACCGCGTTGCTGGATTCGTGGTCACTCCATGCGACAGCACAAGTGGATACCAAGCGCCACGCATCCTAAGGCGGTTTGTCAAAATGCCCTGCCTGTCATTCCTATAACCACACACACTCCTAAATGGCATCTTACCCACTAAATCACGCTTCAATTCTTTTTTACCACGTTCTTCTTTCCCAGAGTTTCGGGTGTTTCCTGTGGGGTTTCCCATGCCCCCTAGCAGCAATTAAAGCAACCATATGCAACCATGGTCCTTTTTTTCCCCTTGAAGATCCTTCAACAGCACAAATGCGCTTTCCAGAGTCTCTGGTACTGGCACTGGTTTCCTTTTGGTTTCCCTTAAACTCCCTTTGAACCCAAACAATGGGTTCACACGCCTACCATGGAACCTGGGTTCCGGACCATTTTCAGGGACCAAAGAGGAAGTGTGACGCTGCAGGGACCTTCTATACCTCGACCCTCAAACTACCCTCAATGGGATATCACTGCTAATATCCCTTAATGGGATATCACTGATATCACCCCCCCCAAAATAAAATGGGTGAATATCATTTTTTTACGGGTAGTTCGCGGGTTCCAGGCAGATACAATAATATTGATACAGGAGCTTCTCCATGAGGGTAAGCCCAACCGCCACCGAGTTCCTCCATCAGCGTGGAGTTTACGCCGGTGACCTCAGCGGAGGATATCGCCATCCTGGCCGGGGACTCTAAAGGGAAGGTGACGGGAACCGAGGGACCGGTAGGATGGGCGGCCTTTTTGCGGGGCTTTTAGAGCCTCTGGTCTAGGGTTATGGTAGGATGTACTTGGCCGACGCCAAGTGTGCAGTTGCGTCTGAATCGGGTGTTGGAATCCTTGTCAAAGCCGAAGGTTTTCGTGGGTTGTGGAGAACTGGGTTTAGGGCCGACGTGGCTGTGATTCCCAGAGAACCCGATGTAGAACCACAAAGAAGTCACAAGGATGGCCCGCGTCGGTTTGACAGAAAGGGAGATTTCCAACGAGCATGAAGGGAATCAAGGCAGCCGAGCTACAGTAGCCGACCAGGGGACCGGTACCCATTTACTTACAAAACAACGCAATTATCGGTGCCAATACCCCGAAAGAGTTGGTCTTCTCGTGTTTGTTCTTATTGGACACTATTTGAGAAAAAGGATGCCATCCCTATTTACAGCACACACAAGTTTTTGCCAAAAGGAAGCCAGCCATTTGGGGGGGGTTGTTTCGAACCCCACCGTCACCACACCAACCGCGCTTCGAGTTCAACTCCCCGGTGGACTTCGACTTCAGCGGCTCCAGAACGGAAGACGAAACCAATCAGGCGCCGGATGTGGCAGGTGGCGCGTTCGGGTTGCTGAAAACACTAATTCGGGTAAGCGGAGGTTCAGTTCCAATAATGGGATAACAATCGCCCGTTTGGTTTGGATTGAGGTTAGGCGAAAAATAGCAACTATGATTTAGAACACCAAAGCGGGATGGGTATGTTTGCAGGTTGTCCAGACACCATATGTCATACCCGTTCTGTTCGAACCCTCAGAAAGATAGGTCTTTTGAACCGCCATTCACATCCCAAGTCGGGTGCATCTTTTGGCCATCAAAGCAAAGCAAACAAAGAAGCGAAGCCATGTTGAGGGGTCCCCTAAAAGACACACCCAATGGCGTCCTCCAACATTGTGGTGTTCCTTTTGGTTCACTTAAACCAAAGGATACCAAAACATGCATGGCCATTAATTTTGACGGGGAACCACCTCGAAAGGGGTTGGTGGGCAAATGATGTCCAAAGGCCGACCCTTTGATACACAAAAAAGTGCTCCGGACAGTTTTGGCATTCGAGCGCTTTTTGCTGCTCAAAGCCAATTCGAGCACTTTTTGAGGTTGCCTAGCTGCTTTGGTGAGGTGCTCGAGAGAAAACAAATCTGCAACTTGAGCGCAATTTCCCGCTACTCGAGCGCAATTTTCCGCAACTCGAGCGCAATTCCAAAAAGTGTGCAAAGCCAAAGCTTTGCCCCGCAATCCGTGTGTTTGCATGTGCTTGCATTTAGCATTACTCGCGCACTTATGTGCCACGAAAGCTCGAGCAAACATTTGTAGGCGGTGCCTAATTAACAGCCATGCTCATATTGTATGTAGCTTTTAGTCTCAACTTCAGGTTTGTCCGGAGGACCGCACGAATGAGAAGAGAACCCTCATAAAATCGTACAATGAAGGGATTCGCCACCACAAAAGGGGCCCTGGGTTCCGTGTCCCGCCGTTGATCACCTTGCACTAGTGCTTTCCATTTCATCCAGATCGATGGAATACAGTGATATCCAAGGCCGGGTATGGCTCTTGTTTAAGGGCACCTTTTGGTTGATTGTCCGTTCTCAAGGATAAGCACAGGAAAACAAAAGAGACACCACATGTGTTTCGATGTTCCCACATTTGGAGACGCACGGCTCCCCTTCCAAGTTTTTGGGGCGAACAGATTTCTATGGCAAAGTAGGGCTATGGTTTGGGGCCTCGTGCTGTCAGGTGAAAAGGCCGAGAGCAAATCCCATGGAGACTTCATGGATTCGGAGCTCGGATTCAGAGTCTGCGCCTGTGATATTAAACTCTAGTTCACCCGTTAGTTTTGCTTTCCTCGGCTGGGGATTCCAATGGGTTGTCAGGACGTTTGACGGCAGGTGATCTTCCTTGTGGAGGGCCCTTTGGTGCGAATCCGCATGCCCATTAACCAAGGCGCGCGAGTTGAGCCGGGCGCAAGGGGGTGAGTGCGAATCAATAGATAAAAGTTTACTTCTTGAGTTGAACCTTGAACTCTTGGGCAGGTTTCTGCATCCCCGTGAATAGTCAAGAGTCAAGAGTTATTTGAGCTTTCGTTTGCCCGCATCATGAACTCAGGTGACTCAGGGGAGGCTTTTGTTTTTGAGGACATTCGGATCGCTTTTGGGTGTCCACCTATGTCTCCGAAGTGTCCACCTGAAGCCTTGATTCCTTTTCTCGCCAGCAAAGCACCACCAGCACCCGCATGGCAAAATGGGCGGAAGCCATGTTCATGGAAGAGGACAGCCGTACCGAGTGGCAGGCTATTCCAACAGGCTCAAGTTAACGCTTGAATTTTATATTTTCGAATATTAGATTGATCTCCTTGATCACTCCATTATGCTCTTTATGCAATGCTACATCCTCGGTTTTCTGTATGTAGGCCCACGTATTTTTGTTAATCCGTTCGCGGCCTTCGCGCCTTGTTCGGGAACGGGTAGTTTAAGAAGTTGCTTTCGTGGGAGAGGAGCTTGTTTGGTCGGTGTTAACGTCGTGCACCTTTCCGGGCTACTTCAGCATGAGTTTTCCTGTCCGTGCTGTTTGCAGAAAAACATGGTTGATCTGAGATGATTTTCTCTACCCCCAAAGCCACTTCCCGCAGGAATTTATGGGGTGTACAAGAACTGTGAGATCGTTGGAAATAATCTTGGAGTTCAGAGTAGCATGTATCATATCTGGGCAAAACATCGACTTCCGCGGAGGGATTGCCACCTCCCATTGGTCCCTTACTTCTGGATCTCTTTTTTTTCAGCTGAGTGAAACTAACTTGCCGAGATGTACATCCCCTGTACAGAAAATAATCATTTCTAGAAGAACTTCCTTTTAGAAACTGCTTTTTTGGGTTCCATGTCAATTTGCTGATATATATATATATATGAATCAGGTGGGCTCGGGGCAATTCAAGGCTAAGCGGTTGCCAAGCGCAATGATTGGAGGATGGACCGAGGCTCTTTGAATTGCCTATATCAAGTTTTCTTGGAACCATGTTTTCCTTGGAATTCCGCTTCAATCCACTCCGAAACGGGCACATTCCAAGCTGCCTGCAGGGGCCCGTGTTGGAAGGGCACCAACCAAACCCCAATTTGAGATGCCCCGCGTCAGGTGTGAGGACACAGATCGTCCTCAGGACAGCGTTTGGGAAGCACAACGCCATGGTTCTAGCACAACATGAAGTGTGTGTTTTGCTGCAATTGGAGCTCTTTTTGGGGTTGTTTCATATGGAAACACGACCCATGTTCGCGGGGTTCGCCATTTTGAGACGCAACCCTGCTTGCGTTGTACAGGGGGAGCCTCATCTACCCTCTTTTCGTTGCCCAAAGCTGATTGACGTGTTGGTTCCGTGTTCAGTCAAGGCCCCACAGGCGATCCCTGAATGTCAGTGGGTCCTTTCGGCAGGTAATATAACGGGCTGAATATTTACTTATGATCATTTAAAACATTGGTTTCAAAGTACCCCGCAGCCCCTTTCAAATTGTTTAGGCCCGCATAGCCCCTGTAAGCGCATGAACGTCCATTCAGAGGCTTCCTTCTTTTGCTATCGGTCGATCTATGACTGGGCGATACAGCATCTGTCTCAGTATTCTGAACATTGACATGGAGCTCCGAAAGGTAGAGCGTAAAAAGCGGACTTCTTTTGGGGCACCCCTCAGGGTGTTTTGTTGTACCTTGCATGAGAAAAGAATCCAGAAAATCGGTGCGACATTCGCGCGTTCCCAGCCATGAGATCGGCGCAAGGTGCGGTTTCTCGGTTGTAGGAGGATCCCAGGAAACTCCCTGATTTGTTCATGTCCGTGGCCCATGTGGTCGACTTCTTTTCCAGGAACGTGCTCCTGGGCAAGACGGGTGGCCAGCCGGGCCCTCAGACAAGGCTCAGGAAGCGACTCGCTTTCGGGTCCGAAAAGACCGGCTCCAGTTTTCATCACATACTGCAAGGTGCGGCATCCTGCCTATGTGAAACCATTTGGGGCTACCCAACGCCACTCAGCGTCGTTAGATTATTTGTTGGAACTTAGAAATAATGGTAACAATGAAAACACCGATAAATACAATGATACATAATATACATAGAGAGACAATGTTACACACATTTTCTGGGTCGGAAGCTATGCCGAGGAAAGGCAGCAGTATCACAGGTTCTTGTTTGGAGGTGCATGAGGGTTTCAGGGTGGTGCCCAGCATTGCGCAAGATTGGTGTCGGCCAACAACACAACAACAGTTTGCTTCAACTTGCTGGTTCTCAGCCCGGAATGAGGGAATGACCCCTACAAACCATCCCTTATAGTTTCCTTTGAGGGAATCGCCAGGGGTCATTCCCATACTGAGCGCCAGCAAGTAAACCAAGGGGGTTATACTCATGTTCAAACAAGGGGCTGCCGCCCTGTCTGAGGACAGACATCTCCATCACGACATGGACAGGGGGTCTCTTCCAGAATTCCATTTGGCATCCTGGCACGAAGCAGGACTGAGAGCTGCGATATTCGCGCCATCGAAGGGGTTCCTTCACGTTGACTTCGACGTTTGTCGAAATGGCAAAGCCACTTCTTACTCCTTTAGTTCCTGGACTTACTTTTGCAAAGACCAGCTTGGTAATACGCAAACAATTTGGACTTGTTTGGCCGATCATGAGCCTTTTGGGATAAATCCCAAACGACGTCAATGAGGTTTCGTCAAATAATGCAAGTAATTGCTTTCTGCTGGTCAATTTGAGCGGAGCAGGAGGGGGCTCACTTGATTCCCAGGAAGCTCCCTGATTTGTTCATGTCCGTGGCCCATGTTGATGGTTGGAATGAAGGCAGATGCCTCTTTTTTTCGTTCTTTTCGGGTACCCCTTTTATGTTGGTTCAATGGCACGCGAACAACAAACAATCTGTGGGGTTCCCCTGTTTCGACGAACGCCCATATGAAAGGCAACTGGGATGAAGGCTATGCTTCCCTTTGTGCAGCATCAACCCTTTGGTCGCTGAGAGTTGTTGAGACAAGCCGCTTTACGCCTGAAGGCCGCCACATGACTGTATTCTCTACTCTTCCCGGGATCCTCAAACCATCAAACACCCATAGAAACAGATGGTGCTTGAAAGGAACACTGGTTGAAAAGAATGGGGAATCAATCCATAGGTCTATGTTTGCTGAGAGCTGTCAGTGGGACTTGACCCAGCACATGTTTCTTTGCCGCGTTGACTGTTGTGATTCTCCCGTCTCCGGAATGAGAAGCTCTGCTTTCGTTGGCTTTTGTGGCTAGAAATATGCAGTGAGGCCCGCTTGTGGGAGCAGGACCCAAGGAGGGCTATGGTAATTGTATCTGTGAATGGCAGACTGCCCTGGGCGCATTTCACTGCGCCTTGTGTCAAAGCGGCTGCGTCGTGTTTGCAACCTTCTATGTACTGTTCCAAAAAACGGGCGATCCATGCCCATGTGTGTGTTGCCCTTTCATCTGCACTCCTCCTTGTTGCGTGGGGAGTGCCATGTAACAACCAAAAACCAGCGGTCTATTGCCGCTTCCTCTGCTCAAGCCGCTCATGCGAGTCCCCGTGGCCACATGCCCTCGTTCTGGACCCGCTCAAAGTTCTCCGTTGTCACATGCCCCTGACAAAACCTGCACGGTGTCAGCGGAACCTGTGGCTCTCGTCCGATCCCGGGGCATCGGTGATTGGCATGCAAGAAGCCATCCTGCCCTCGCCACGATCTCGCTCCTCGACGCCGTTGACCTTCTCCAAGCCAGCAGTTCGGACAGGGCAGCACCGCCCGCAAGCCCCTGGCTGTGGCATTCCTCAGCCCGAAGCAATTGCGACGCCAATGCACCTTATCACCCATCGCCGTGATGTGGTAGATCTCCGTTGCCTCCGGCTCCGGTTGCAGCTCTCGCCATCGTAACTGCTCCATCACCATGAGCTCCTCGCGCCATCTGGCATTCAAGCGCTCATCGACCTCGTCCGGCTCATCCGGCCTTGTCACAGCCGGCTCCCCACCGGCCTGCTCTTCTGATTGACGTTCACTACCTCCACGTCGCCTTCTCATTGTTCTTGCCGTTGACAGATCCCCGCTGGTAGAGCTCGAAGACCTGGCCACCGAAGTGCTCGATGCTCTCGGCACATCGATCACCTCCTCATCGTCATCAGTTTGGGTGCCCTGCTCCGCGCTCATCACTCTGAGTTGCCGTACCCTCCCACAGAAAGCCGACGTCACTTCACTCACCAGGCGATACACCACAATCGCGACCACTGCGATCAGCAGTACCACCACCGAAAGATCCATTCTTTCCTCCTCCTGCTGTTGACCTTCTCCTTGGGCCCTGCATCCGGCTACCACAATGAGGATCACCAGCAACTTGATCCACTTCTCCTTGCCACCTTGCACCACGGTCTTGTTCAGTCTGACAGCTTCGCTCTCTTCTCGCATAGCCTTGAGGTCCCAGAGGCTGCACAACTCCTTGATCCTCGCCGGGCCCAAGGGCTTGGTGCCAAGGTCCGCAAGCATCTGCTGTCCCGGGCAATGGCGTATCTCCCAATCTCCAGCCCAAATCCTCCACCTCAAATGGAACGACCGAAGACGGAGATGTCTCGTCCTCCACGAACCCGTGACATCCGTTGCTATCGCCACCGCTGCCGCGTTGTCCGACAGCAGCATTTTCTTGAAGTTATCCATCCCCAAGGTGTCCGTGATCAGCGCCTCCACGCTGTCCCCGAGTCACACTGTCAATTGCTTCGATCAGCTCGCTTTCGGCTGTCGACAGTGCTGGAAACGCCTGTTTCCCGGCCTTCCACGCGATGACCGTACCATTCCACGCCACCAAGGAACATCCTTGACTCCTTTCTCCCAGTGGTGCGAACGACGCGTCTGCGTAGGCCTGCAATCCAGCTGCTCCATGTCCAGACCAATGTTGTCCAGTGTCCCCGGACACCCACAGTCCCCAGTCCTTCGTTTCCTTCAGGTAACCCAGAACATAGCCCGCAGCCTTGACCGTCCACTTGGGATTCTTGGACGTCATGCTGCACATGCGGCTCATGCTGTAGAGGAGATCTGGCCGTGTCCTCGTCATCAGCCACAAAATCTCCCCCGTCACCTTCTGAGCCTTCGTGAGGTCCCTGGCCGTGAAGTTGCCCGGGTCCTCTTCCGCCTCGTCTGCCAATTCCTTGGACATTGGCGTCTTGGATCTCACCAACTCATCCTTATGTCTTTCAGCAGCTCCTCCACGTAGTCGCTCTGATGCAGGAAGATGCCGCCCTCCTTCTTCATCAGATTCATTCCCAAAAACCGGATTTGGCGATCCTCCGTCAGGACGTCTGGCTGGCTCGTCTCCCACCTTTCTGAGATCACGGCCTCAAACCTTTCTCGCACCGACTCCTCCGTTGCCGTGAGGACGTCGTCCACGTATATGGACACCAAACCGGCCAACACCTCCGTTCCATCACGAACCTCCAAAATCCGCCACAGATTCTGCTCCGCAGCGCACTGCTCCAGTTGTAGTAGGCGCCGTTCACCTCCCAAGTTAGCTTCGCGAGCTCGGCATCCCGGTGGTCCGACCATCTCCTCGGGCTCTGCCGAAGCCCATACATGGCCTTGTCGATCAGCCACAGCTCACCCGGCTCCGCGTAGCCCAATCTGACCATGATAGTTGGCGGTCTCATCGCCACCAAATTCTCCGGCTCCCTCTCCTCGTGCAGATCCGCATTGAGGAACGCAGACTTGATGTCCAGCGCCGACATTGTCCATTTCCTTTCCATGGCCACCTTGACCTGCAGGCGGATTGCCGTTATGTCCGTTCCCCCCGCAAAGGTGTCGCCTTCCGCCTCCGTGTCCCGCTCCACATGGTTCCCGCAGACCACCAATCTGGTCTTCCGTCTCGAACTCCCGGCTTTCACACTGAAGATCGCCTTGGCAGGTACCACTGACAGTTTACTGCCTTTTTCCTTGATCAGCTTCTCGGCCTCCCTGGGTGGCACTCTCCGAAGCGCCTGCTTCTCCGTCATCAGCGAATCCAGCTCGGTCTTGATCGAGGCCGCCCAACCTTCCTTGTCCGAGATCACCTCGTTCGGGGACACCATCTTTGTGTGCAGTATCTTCTCCGCCTCCGTCTGATCCGGAACCGTCTGCTTCAGGCTCTCCTCCTCCTCACGCAGTTTCCGCACCATCCGGAAGGTCATCTCTGCCGTTTCCTGCTCATCTTCCAACATCCTCTCTTCTTCTTCCACAATGATGTGGCGAAGCAGCCGAATCCTTTCCGCCACCTTGTCACCTCCACCATCGTCCATTCTAGCCGGGTCGCTCGTCTTCACCCTCATTCTCCTTCTCACACGAAGGGCCTCGTCAAAGAGAGCATCTCCTTCCCGGTTCTCCTCCTCTTCATTCACATCTGCTCCCAGCGCGCCCCTTCTCGCAATCCGGAAAGCACCTTTGACACCGCGACCACCTTCTGGTCGGCGTTCAGCAGCACCGCATGCCCATGCGTGATGTCGTAGAGCGGCGCAAGATATTTGCCCCTCTGGTTCTTAGCCTCGAAGGATTTCTGCTTCCAAGCCCTCTTGGGGACCACCACGTCCTCACCGAACTGATACTTCGGCTTGTGGCCCTTCAGATCATAGCCGAAGCGCACCTCCGAAACATAGCGAGCAATGCAAGGCCACCAAACAGGATCCCACTTCGTCGCGATGAGCGCCCGCCTCATCATCGACTTCACCACTCCCACCGCTGCTTCAGCTCGACCGTTCTCCTGCATTTGATCCGGAGTCCTGGTGGACTTCCTGATGTCTCTCAGCCGGCACCAACTTGCCAGCTCCCTGCTCATGAACTCACCCCCTTGTCCGAGTGCAATCTCAGCACCAAGAAGCCTTCCCTCCTCAATCTGATGTAGACCTCCTGTATCGCCGCCAAGACCTCCTTCCAATCCTTGGATCTGAGCGGGACCGTCATGTAGAGCGTCTTCAACGGGTGAGGCTCCTTCTGGGGTTCCGGAAGGATCGGCTGCTCTTGCTCCTCAGCTGCTCCTCCAACCTCGAAGCCCTCTTCCGCCGCCTCCTCTTCGAGATCCTCCTCCGGTAGTAGACCTTCTTCAAGCCCGCCACCTTCTTCTTCACCTCCAGCTCATCACCAGGAAGCTCTTCTCCTTCTGATGTGTCTATCTGTGGCCATGTGTATGCCGCCACCAACAAATACCTCTTGTCCTGAACCCCGCCCACATCGGTGCCCATAATGAACGGGGTCCACCGACAACACGTTCCCAGCCGGGTGTCGTACACGCCTATGTGGGCGGTCCCGCGCCGAGGCTTCCTGACAAACCCGGCAGTCCCGCCGAAAGGGCAGGTGGCCCAGCTTCACATGCTCCTCCCACGAAAGAGCCTTCACCTTCACTTTCGACTGGCCATCCACTTCCTTCCGAAGACATCTTGCCAGCTCTCTCATCATTCCAGGGGCCCACCTAGCCAACGCCTTCGACGAGCTGAGCTTCTCCTCACCCGTCATCTCCCACCTTGGCTTTCCAACCTCCCGATCATGACGTAGAGCTTCTCCCAGATGTGTCACAGACGCCCTTCTCCGGCCCTTCGAAATCCATCGTTGTGCCCACTGTCGTAGGCTTTACCGCACGTCCACCCCAGTCTCCCTGCATGAAGGTGACCTCCCTCAAGTTGTGGAGCTTCTCGAGGGTTTTCCACTCCGGTGTTCTCCACCACGAAGCGCATCTCGGCTCTCCCTTAGGTTCCGCCGGCTGCTCCATGAAGAACTCCACACCACCCCCTTCATTCTCTCTCGCCTTTGCCGTGATGTCTGCCAGAAGATAGATCAGGATGAAGCGGAACATCAGCACATCGTCTTCTCTGACAATCGCCCTCTCTCCCTCATCCATCTCCGGCAGGCCCCATCGATGCTCCATCGTCCTCACCGGGCGTGGCTTAGCCCTGTTCAGCAGCGGGTAGAATCGTAGCACCGATCTCGTCCTGCAATTCGGCCCGCCCACCACGGCCTTAATCCGGTCGTCCAGCGCCAACCGGACCAACCCGCTCATGAGCTCGTTGTTCATGAGGTCATGAGCCTCGTCTCGGAGAATGTCATACTCCAAGATGTCCCGTGGATCTCCACCTTGCTCCTTGTATGCCCTCGAAAGGTCGAACCCCTCCTCCGGGCCCGCGAACAAGTGCACCACCGCTCCTCCCTTTTTCTCAAGCCTTCTTCTTCGGCTCCGATTAAGCCCCAGCGGTTTCCAATCCTCCGCCGGTTCCACCATCAGCTCTCGCTTGATCGCCTCCGGCACCTCGTCGAACACCGGATGCATTTCCACGACTTTCTTCACGAAGTCCACCTCCTCCCGCCTCGACAGCGATCGGATCTTATGGCGGTGTACACCCTCCAGCTCCTGGATCAGGCTGAGTGCCAGTGCCCTTGGCACCTCCGGGCACCCTTGACTCATCACCACCGGTAGTTGTCCTCGTCCAGGATGTAGGATAGTGCACGCTTTCCCACTCCATTTGACCTTGCAGTTCAGGTCCTTCGTGAGCATGCCCATGGGAATGATCGGCTGCGTTCTCTTGTCCTCCGCAACAAGCGTGCCCCCCAGGGTTACCCTCAAACTGTAGGTTTCCCCGGCTGCCAGCTCCACCGTCCGTTCCTCATAGCTTGCGACATCCTCGTCCTTTTCCACGGCCCTGAGCGGGTTCGTCGCTCCCGAGTCCACCAGCCCGCGAACACCGGCGGTCTCCACCTTGGACAACTTTATCTGGCGAACCCTCATCCTTTCTCTCATGCCGTCCATCTGCTTCTAAAGGTCCAGCAGCTTCTTTTCTTCCTCCTCTTGTGCGCTCTTTCCCGCCGCCTTGACGTTGAGGCTCCTGAGCATTTTCGTTGCCTCCTGGAGCACATCTTTCATCGCCTCATTGTCTTTTCACTGGATGCCGAACTCGCCGTTCCCGGGGAGTCCTCATGCACTGTTGCTGATGAGGTCGTTGCCCTCGGAGTTGATTCCTTCTGGGCTTCCGCGCTGACCTCCTTCTTGTCCCCTCCTTCGGTATTGACCTTCGCCGCCTTCGGCTTTCGGTCCGGGCTGGTCTTCACAGCGACAGGGCAGTCCTTTCGCAGGTGCTCACTCGCCCCACATGACCAACACCTCATCTTTTCATCCTTTTGGTCGTGGCTCCACTTGCACCCACGCCCTCGTCTGCAGCCCTTTTTCGAAAGGAAGAACTTGCAGGGCCGGATATCCTCTCCAGCCTTCTTCGTTTCGTTCTTGCCGTCCACAGTGTCCACCTTCTTGACCTTGGCGTCCACCATCTGAGTCTTTGTCGCCGGCGTCTTGACCTCCTTCTCCAAATGAGCGATGGCCTCCACCTCCGACAACGCATGCTCCGCGTACTTCTCCACTGCCTCGTGCGATGGGATGGAATCCAGCTGTAGCGCATTCCTCGCCAGGGCCATCCTAAAGGCGAGTTCCGGCTGCAATTCCAGCACCTTCTTGATCATCTTGTTGAGGGACCGCGCCAACACCGTCGGGTCCGGGATCGTAACCCCCAACTCCTGCGCCCGTTGCTTCCACCTCATCCACTTTGATAGGCTAACCACCAAGGACGCCAGAGAGTCCACTTCCTGGGGGTTCTCCAATGCAAGAACACCCCCTTCTCCACCAGACCTCCCGGCTGATAGCTAGCCATGCAGAGGATGGCGTAGCACGTCATAGACTTCGTCGCCACCATCTCTTCCTTGGCTCCTTCTGGGAGAGCTCGTAGGATCAGTCCCACAGCCCTCCGTTCCAACCTTCTCCACCGGGCTTCTTGAAGTTCCGGAGGATCCTTCGGCTGCAAGCGAAGCCTCTCCAGCGGTGGCGTGGTCTGGTACTTCGTGTACCATACCCTTGCCGATTCCACCACCTTGTGCCACCACTGATGTGATGACTCGCTGAGATCCGCCATGATGGGCTCCAGGACGGAAATCCAATCTCCCAGATCGATCGGCGCGCACTCCGGTCGGTACTCCACCAGCTTCGGCAGCTCCATAACGCCACTCTTCACCAGCTCACTGTGATCCTCGACCCCATCTGGCTTCTTCTGCTGGTTGAGCATCTGCTGCTGCATGATCTGCATCCCTTGGACGATCTTCAGCATGATGTCCAGCGACTGCCCCTTTTCCCCACCAGGCTCATCTTCCCTCATCTCAGAAGACTCCTCTTCCTGATCAGCAGGTTCTCCTGTTGCTCCATGGCCTTCTGGGGTTCCATGCTCCTCAGGCGGTTGCCACTTCAGCTGCATATCTGCTACCTTATTCACGCAGTGCACCACCTCCTTCTGCAGCCTCCGGTTATCGGCCATCAACTGCACCATGTAGTAGCGCATCTCCTGCATTGGATCAGGCCATTGAGCAAATCGAGGGCCTCCATCAAGTCCTCCAGGTCCAGGTAGAGCCGGCTGTGGGGGCCTTTGTCCTTGCCATTGAGCAGGCCGAGCGCCTTCGGCATGTCCCCCTGGTACCGGTAGAGCAAGTTGTTGTGCTGCCAGCACCAACTCCTTCTTCTCCAACATGTCCTCGTTGGACCTCTCGATGTAGGTCTCAAACCCCTCTCTGCTCCCTCCAGCTCCAGTCGGATGGATCAGCGGCGCTTCTTCCGTCCACTCATCGAGCCGTTTCATCTGCTCGGGCGTGAACAGCGCTGCTGGTACTGGCTCAAGTGCCAGCGGCTCCCCCTGCGGCCCTCCAGGCCATTGGGTCGAAGCTCCTGCCTCCACCACTCCGTCCGGCCTGGCGACCAGGGTCTCCATCACCTCTTCCACCACCGGGCCAGGTCCGCTGCTGCTCGACCCCTTGCCCGCGGCCTCATTGGCTTCCAGCGTTCTTATCCTCCTGGATCTCCCCGATCCAGTGGCCATAGCTGCGTGGTCGCAGTCACCTAACGTGACTTGGGCTCATAACCTGTGAATGGCAGACTGCCCTGGGCGCATGTTTTCACTGCGCCTTGTGTCAAAGCGGCTGCGTCGTGTTTGCAACCTTCTATGTACTGTTCCAAAAAACGGGCGATCCATGCCCATGTGTTTGTTGCCCTTTCATCTGCAGTATCGAGATGATTTCTGCGGCAGTTCCTCGTTTATCGCCAGGGTTGCTGACTGGACCTGGGGTCCCCTCCAAATTTCTTTTTTAGCGCTTAGGGTAGACTAAATTGGAACGGACTCAGAAGATGTGGTGCCCCAGACAAGGGATTGGTGGCATCTACGGCATCTGGGTTCGAGCCTTTGGGCCGCGTAGCTTTTCCTCCCAAAGCGGCGAGCCTTCGCAGGACGAGCGTCTCAGCTTCCGGGGCGGGTTCAGGTTGCCGCCCCCTCAGGTGTCGCAGAAAGCAGATCGATGCACATGGACAGACGTAGCCGAGCCGGGTCAAACATCACTTGGACATGGACTTTGAGTGCCCTTACTATTGCAGTGGTGTTCAAGGTAGAAGCATAGGGAGCGCTGGGTTTCGGACAGGGAAGCTCCAGGGGCCCACTCCGTTCTGCCGGTATGTTTTCTGATCCTTTTGCTGGAAAAGGGGAACTTGTGAAGAAACCCATCAAGAAGGATACTTCAATGTACTTTCCCAAAGAGCCAAGGGGGTCACAAGTCACATGGAGCAAACCAGGCAAGTTTTTCTTTCGATTGTATATGACTCATGGCATGAGGACCTGGTTATCCATGGCTGGAAGGCGTCTGCGCAGTATGGAACTGAACCGAAGCAAGTGCATTCTTGGCAGTTTGAGTAAGCCAGTTTGATTTGTGGCGTTTGGGGAGGTTGAAGTGGGCATGTATCAACAGTCTCAAGAAGGTGGTTTTGCATTCACGAAGCACGCCCAAATGAATCTGTGTTTGTTCTCACAACCTTTGCTTCTCACCTCAGGCCTGGCAAGGTGGAGATCCTCTATGATAAGCTGGAGACGCTTGGCTTGGCATTTGGCAAATGGCGGGAGAAGATGCGGAAAAGCAGCAGTGGGCTTCATGACGCCAAAAAGCAACACCGGAATTCATGGTTGTGGAACTGGGGCCCTGGGGTCTTAGGTATCCCCTTCTGTGGGTGTTAACTTTGAAGTGGGCAACTAGTCAGAGGGATGCCATCACTTTGGTATCACGCAGGTGGTAAGGTTATACGACCATGCTGAACTGTTCTCTCCCTTTGCTCATAGAATGTGTAATGCATGTGACAGCCAAAGTAGTAAGCTGGACCAGCTCCGTGATTATTTCTCTTTCTTTCCTAGACAAACTTCTACCGACTGATGCTTCACCATGATCCCAATGCTGTTTTGTGTCCTTGCCCGATTCTGACAGACTATGTTTCAGGAGACGCAACACCCAGCGGATCCATGTATTCTTGGACCTTCAAACGTACCTAAAATTTCTGCCTCCCCCGTCAATCGGCTGGTTTTTGGAATTCGTACCTTTTTCTTTGGGCTTGTCCTCTTTTTTGGACCTCGAGCAGTTTTTGGAGGCATGAGGGCTGTCAGGTCCCAATATATGACCTACTCGAGCAGAAATTGTGTGCAAAAACGCCCGCAACGGCCCGCAAAACGAGCGCAAAAACCCGCAAACGAGCGCAAATTTGAAAAGTGCTCAACTGAACATGGAAACCTCGGGCACTTTACCATTGCTCGGGCAGAACTTGAAGAATCGGGCACAAACTGTGTGTTCGAGCAACAACTAAAAAAAAGCCAAAAAAAAAAGAAAAAGTATCAATGGAAGGTCCAGGTTTGGTTTTGTCCCGGCAGCAAAATGCAAAATGAGATGTCATTTTGCTTCTAGCAAGTCTTTAAAGCACTAGAAACGCATTTGCAGCAAAAAGTTCTGTCCAAAGCGAAAAAGGCTTGCAACTGCGCCGGGTCCGGGGGCGCACGATATTGAAATTAGGTATCCAAGGAGAAGCCAAAAGACCACGCTCGGGAATGGCCGGCAATCAGTTGCGTGTCCAGACATTTCGAAGACTCGTGTTTGGCGTCATCCGAGTCGCCCCGTGAGTTGTCTCCAAGGAAGCTCCGTGTGTTGAGGGGAGTACGTGCACGGACTATGCAGACCTTATAGGATCTTATTGGTTGGTACCTACCATTTGTTTTAATTGCATATATCTGTAAGCGTTTGGTGAGCTCACCTGCGGATAAATATGCTCACTTTGAATCTTTACTTGGGTAGCATCGCAAACTTTGCAGATATGCGGTTGGGGCTAGGAACCACGCAGGAATTGTCCTGCATGCAAGCTGCATTCCGCTCCTAGGAATACCTACCAGCGCGACCCGTCGGGAACCCAGACGTTAGCCAAGGAGTCAATGGAACAAGTGCTCGTCGATTGGAATCACATGTATTTACGCACTTCTATATTGTTAGTTCTTTGCTTTTTTGGGGACATCCATGTTGTGGTTCTTCGTCGAGCGCCAGGTTCACATATCCAGAGCAGTCCTTGTGGAGCACTCAGATGGGGCGCCGGGGTGCCCAGCAGATTAGGCAGATCTTCTTTTTGGAATGGTTGGTTTTCACAGAAAGCAAAGGGACACGGCACTCCGGTTTTGGGGTTCCCACTTGAGACCCCCAGTCTTGTTAGACTGTGTTGCAGCTTGGATTCAGTCGCCAGAAGGCAAAACAAACTCGGCCAAGTCTGTGGCTGCGAATGCCTTTGGTAAAGTGAAAATCGATTGTTTTTGTGCTCCAAGACATTGAGTTGTTAGGACCTTGGGATCCGAACGGTTCTTGCATGCTTCCCCCCTTTCTAAATAGGAGACCTGCCCAGGAGCCACTGCGTTGCATGTTTTGTGGCCGGATCACATCGACGGCTCGACTGCAGCATAAAAGACCATCAATCTATATGGCTGTGGCTCAAAAAACCGGTACCAAAATGGAACCCTGGTAAGTGGAAACATGGACCCTGGGTAACCCCTGCCGTTTAATTTTGAGCCACACCCATATCAATCTGCATCGATCTCGTCGATGTTTGTTGTTTGTTGGATTGAGGGTAGCTGTTTCACCTTAGTTTGAGGGCAACCAGAAGGAACACCCGCAATTTTGGCCCCCTGCCTACTTTGAGACAAGCCCAGTTTGTTCCTCTTCGGCCGCCGAGGACCTGCCTATGCAGAATTCCACTTCCACATCTCCGTGGCTGCTCAGGCGCTCCGAAACTTTGGGCGCCTCAGGACCTCATGAAAAACTGCCGGGACCCTGAAACTACCCTTAAACATGTGATATCACCCCATAACATGTTTGGCAATATTCTATTCGTATGCGTAGTTTCAGGGTCCAGGTGAACGCGAATGGGTGTACATTTTGAGGGTAGTTACTCGTTTTCAGGTGGGTTTAGAGGGAAACCAGCTTCCAGTTGTGCCGCATATCCGAATGGTTGGGACCCCCAGAAGGGCAAGCAGTTTGGCTTCCCCGAACTCATTCACAGAGAGAGGCCGAGGCCGGGGGTGTTGGGATCTTTGGATACGAGGAGCTTTGACTTGGCTCGTGGAAGATGTGGCGGGAATAGCAAGGTTTGACATGCAGATGTCAAGTGTGTCAGAGCTGTTAGCGACACTGTAACTTGCGAGCCCTTGCGGTGTGAAATGTCAATCATCGCCTATGATCACGGGGTCGCTTGGAAAAAAGGACTCATATACCAATGAATCCATGGGTCATCATCATTCCTAAATTTGGGGCTACCCGATTGCGGATGGTTTACTTTTGGGCAGCCAAACGGAAAACTATCCACTCCTGGGTTTTGCAGGTGTGGTTTGAACAAACTGGCCATGGCTATCTGTTAAAGGGAGCCCTACGTGATGTTTCACTGAGCCAGCAACCAGGCAGAAAACAACTACCCTTGAGAGTACACCTGCAATACGGGCCTTTTTATTTTCTTGTTGGGTGGTTTCAAGCATCACCCCACGCTGGCCCGTTTAAGGTGAAGTTGCTTTGATTCTGATGTTTTAAGGTTTGTTTCCCACAATGCAACAAGCCCTGAAACACGCCTCTAACTACGGAAGCCGAAAGCCTTGAGGGGTTGCCTCTTGGCAAGTGGGTGCTTGGGCGATCGAATTGTTTAAACAGAACCACAGAAATCACTGTTTGAAAACTGTCCAGTTTTTTTAACACTGTCCATTCGTTTGGGGTCCCTTTCTTCAACAAAAAGATGCCAAATCCCTGATAAGCTGGGTGGTTTCCAAAGAGAACGATGGGTAAAGAGCATGGGGAAGCAACCCATCAAAAACCATGAGTGCGATTCTTTAGAGTACCCTTTTCACCTTTTCAGCTTGTTTTAGGGAAGCCAAAAGTAAAGAACCTCCTTCAGAGATCCTTTGACGAGGGGTCCCAGATCTCTGAGGCCCAAAAATTTGGGCCGCTGGGCCACGGGGACCGGATCGAATCGACACGACGGAGAGGTGGGGGACTTCCTGATGATCTCCGCCAGCCCCTTCGAGCCCACCCGTGGTGTCTTCACCCTGGCGGCGCGGGGCCCAGAGAATCACAGGAGTTGCCCGACTCTGTCTTGACAGGAAGTGACAACTGATGCATATATACATATATACATCTATACATAGATACATATATGTACTTATTTTTTGTATGTGAATTGATATGTGTATATCTGGAGCATATTCGTAATTGTTCGTGTACAGGTGTGTCTTTTGCGGTGGATGCCGTGTGCCACAGGAGAGCCCAGTGGGCCAAAGCATCTCCAGCCAGCCCACGGTGAAGAAGGAGGTGGCCAACGAGGCGAGCAGTTTGAGACAAATTCGACCCATTTCGGGGCGTGCGGAACCATGGCTTTGGCGTGGCTCCGCGCTCTGGAAACTTGTTTTTTTCACTATGCTGCTTTGAACGGACACCAACCACCCTGTTTTTGTAGTCCCCTACTGCGGATTGCACCAGTTGGCATGGATGACCCCCAAGAAAAGCTTGGATAAAGTGCCTGCCAACCGGTGTGAAGCAGGTTTATCGGTTTGTGGTATTTTCTAGAAGTTGATTCTCAATAAATGTCAACCATCGTTCTTAGAACCATCCGTTTCCGCTTGGTGTTGCTTTTCTAGAAAGAAACCACTAAATTCCCAAGGAGATAAAGTAGTCCCGGGGTCAGCCTACTTTGGCATCGCAGAAAGCAGGATGTTCCGAAGACCATCGCAGTATTTTGGGTCACTTTCGACACCTCTCCCCTCGGACCGAAGCGCCCGAAGCGAGCGGAGCGAGCCTTTCTTTGGCATCGCAGATCACCACCGTCTTCGGGGGCGCCATCCACGTGCGGCTGCTGGAGGCGTGCGGGGCTCCAGCGGTTTGGCGCCGGAGGCGTGCGAAGCGGAGAGCGGGGCCCGGGAAGAGGAGCAATGGTGTAAACATGTTTCAGCAGGGTTGCGGGATCAAGAGGATGATGCCCACTTCTGTGATTTAAGGGAATCCCCTGTTTATTCGGGGGGGTTAGTCTTTGGGAGGCGCTTTTTGTTGCATCACAGTGGTCATTTTCCACAGCCCTGCGTTTAAGCAAGGGTCTGGCTCAAGCCTGGTGCCCTTCCGCCGAGGCTGGTGCCCTTCCGCCGCTACGAGGTCATCACCTCCGTGATTGCCCCCACCGCCGCGGCCGCGCAGGCGCCGCGTTGCGGGAATTGGGCGCAACATGGCTTCGGCGTGTTTGCTCTTTCTACTGGAGGACCTAGCCAAGCAAACAAACAAGCAAACAAGCAAGCAATCAAAGGCCATCAAAATTTGGGACACCCATGTTGCAACTTGGCGTGCGGCCGGGGAATTCAGTCTTCGCGGGCAAGACCTCTTTGAGAATGTGTTTGTTATGACTTCCTGTCGGGCAGACATTAGTCTAACCAAAGGCGCAAGAAGAATTGTTTGCTCCTTTGCTTTCTACTACAGCTTCCTTTTCTCCCTCCATACTGAACATGTCCGCTAAGCTTTGCTTCTACATGGTAATGTTGCAACCAATGATTTAGCGCTTCCAGACTTATAATGAAATGGCTGGTGGTCGCTGGGCTTCATTGTGAATTTTCCGAGGGGAGGGGCACTCACAGATTTGGGTATGTGTCAACATTAAGGGGACCCCCCCAAAGAAACAAAAAGAAAGCAGTGGTTTTCTGTTTGGTTTGCGGTCAAACCAAGCTGAAACTGTAGAGTCAAAAAACAGCACGTCACGCGTTTCTACACCTCGGAGAGTTGCTGCAGGCGCATGGTGGAGCTATTCAGTGGCCGGCGCCCTGAGCGCGGCGTGCGGCGTTTTTGAGATCCACTTAGACAGGGTCCCAATATCGCCAATATTTCCCTCCAGCTGAAGCATCACCTTTTGGCCCAGTTTTGGATAAGTTTCCTTTTGATCTGGTGATGTTTAGGAGGAAGATATGGCCAGATTTAGATGAATTTCCCTTTGGTTTGGTGATGTTTAGGAGGAGAATATGGGAAACCCTTTCAGCCCGCCTTATGGATCCCTGTCAGCGCACTGCCACAGCTGGACCCTAGTTTAAGAACGAAGAAGCGGGGGCCTAGGGAAGGGACAGGTCTAGGGTGGTTTTAACGCCCATCCAATCTCTGCCCAGTTGTTTGTCCCCAAAAAGGATTCTAGTCCACTTGGTTGGAGGTCATGACGGGCTCATTGTGGCTTCCCGATACTGTAAGATGTGCAAATATCGAAGACATGCCCCAGTGAAGTGATCAATGCATATGATGCGTAACACCCCAGCGCACACTTGCACATGCAGCCACACGGCAACGCGCGGGTGCCCGCGCCCGCACCCACATCTGGACCCGCACGCACTTGCACACGCACATACACAGACGCGCACTCAGATTAATTTCACACAAACCTACATACGCAGAATACACGCACATGCATATGCTCAAATACTCACACCCCCACATGCACAAGCACAGTTACCGCCACAATCACACAGCATGATTCTCATGACTCATGCTGGCTATTGCGCATGCTACAGGACATTTGGAAGCAGGCATCACAGAGGTCACTTTGTTTGTTATGAGCCTTCGTGCTGCGGCAACCGTGGCTTGCAGTTCGGCTTTAACCCCCGTGAAGTTTTGTTTCACCCATTTTAGATGCAGCTGCTTCGGAAACCATGGTAATTATATGGGTGATGTCTCAAAGTAGGGGATATCGCCACATGGTTGATGTCCTTTTGGTTTCACCCAACCATAGAGGTACCATCTCCAAATCCGGGCGCGATCTTCATCCCCATCGTTTCCATGGCCGGGAACCGAATCCTACCTCAGGTTCCTCGAGACTCGGGACTTTGGGCCCTTGCCCACCAACACCAACGACGGCAACTCGCGAGAGTGGACCTGGCCTGTGCCTTTTTCGCGTCGGGTGGGTTTGCCTTGTCATGGTTGTTGGGAAACATGTTACATTTTTGCTTATTGTGGTTTAGTGGGAAATCCCCACTGAATTGCCAAAATTATTGTTTTTTGCTCCCCTTCCAACGTCAACCAAGCTTTCCTCGTGCTCTGGAAATTGGAGATGTCAAAAGAGGACCCCGAAGTGGATTCCCGATTCCCTGACCAATCTGCAAAGGGTACCAAAGACAAACACAACTGGCAGCTAAAAAGGGATCCCCGACATGAAGATTCATGTTACATGAACGCAATCTGCAGGGAGCAGGTATTGCAACGACAGTAGAAGAGTGTATTGAAGCTATTGTTGGCAACTCTGTGGGAGTTGTGCGTTGATGACTGCTAATGTAGAAAGTGCACACAGTTGATGAGCTTGACTAGGTCGATTTGCCGTCCGGACGTTGTTGGATCTCAGAAATCACGCATCTAAACGCACCCCCGGGTAGGCGTGAGCAGCGAGCTTGGATTTAATCTGTTTGACATCAGTGGCCTGCCAGGTGCATCTCAAGTTTGAGCCGTATCTATGCATTCATCGCACATGGGGGTTCCTGCGGCCAAGGGATGCAATTCTCAAACATGTTCGCACTGATAGGAGTTTATGAGACTCCCCAGCATCTGAGAAGCAGCGTCGCATAGTAGAAAGAACAGCCTCAAAGTGTTTCGTTGAGTTTCTCCATGTCCCTCACTGAAAGCTTTCTTCCAGGGGCCAGAAGATAACTTTATAGCATGCATCGACACCTTTTTTACACATCGCTTGTTTGCGCGGAAACATCCGGTTGGCCGGAGTATGGCAAATGTATACTTGCAATCAGCGAGACGTGCATGATGGAAGGGGATGCATTCGGATGCGCCTAATTTGGAGTGTACTCTTTTGAGTTTGCGAAGCGAAATCGACGGGAAGCCACCCACGTGTTTTGTTTTTCAGGGGTGGTCAACCGATGTATCCTTTCCATCTTCGCAACCCGGGGGGCTTCTAAAGATGCTAGTTGTTGCTTGCTTTTCCCAAACGGAAGCCAAAAGGGATGGGTAATGGTTGAAAGTTTGTCCCGAAACCCCCAAGTAAAACGTGCAGGTAACCCCACGTCCATAGGTGTCCTTTTTGGTTGATTTGGTCGAAAAATAGAGGGCGATTCCTGGTTTACCTGGTTCAATCAACCAGGGACACCCATCTATTTTCCCAAAATGGACACATCTCACCCCACGCTCTGCCAGATTCCCCATCGTGGAGGAGTACAGCTTCGTGGTCACCGTCCATGGGCCCAAACTTGTAGCGGGGGGGGGCTGATGGCCATGTGCTGGTTCTCAGGGAGTCACGGGCTTGAGGAAATGAGGATCATTTGGGTGTGGCTCAAAATTGAAGAGCAAGGGTTATGCAGACTTGAGCCACAATCAACACCCGGGTAGATGAAGGTTAGGGCCAATCCCAGCCATAACTTGCTGCGGAATTCCGCCTTCTTAATTCTTGAAGCATGGTTCTGGGTTCACCATTTTAGTACCGGGTTTTGATTGTGCAATTTTTTTTTTGGAGATGATGGCCATGTCCGGAATGCCCTCACGTGCCTACCCCCTTTGCTGCTTCTTCTGGAGTCACCAGGGGCTTTAGGAAATGCGGATCACCTGGGTGTGGCTCTTATGCAGGTTTTAGTCTCTTCCATTTACCAAGATGCTATTTTGGTACATTGTGAGCCACAGCCACCTGAAAGGAAGCTCCAGTTGGATGTTTCGGGGGTCCACTCCAGGCTTCCAGGAAAGCCTATTATAGTCGGAGTACCAACAACTGTCTGGACCCTCCGATGGGGCTGACAAGAAATTCACACCTTTTCCGGTTTTCTGATGTTTGACTTCAAAGTTGTCTGCACTGTAGTCGCTTTTTTGGGGTTTGAACCATATTGGCAAGCAACTTGTTCGGAAGTGTTTGGCTCGACTTCAGAAGTTTGGATTGCGCATCATGTAGAGATGTAGAGCCTGTTTGAACAGTTGTCGTCAGCCGACCTCACACACACACACACACACGACTTTTGATGGTGGTTCCTGAACAATCAGCAAAGGTCCAGGAAACTGTCCAGATGGAGAGGTGCAAGGAACATGGCCTAGGTACTTGTATGACTATGAATCTTAACCGGGAATTACCTCAAAAGTTGGCTGGTGGACATGAATCCTGACCTAGATGTTGTCCACCAAAGGGTCCCTGGTGAAAATTATGAGGTTCATTTTCTTGCCAACGGTATGCACGGGGCCTTTGCCAGGTCCATCCAGCCAAGATGATTTGGTCTGGTTCGCGCGGGGGAATGTTCTTTGCCCGAATGGAGCTGTACCTTCCAGCTGCCTAGGTTCATTTCCCAAAGCCCTGACTCAAGCAAGTCATCGCCCATGGTTTTCAGGCCATAAGTTGGCCCGAAACGAATCGGCATCTCCTTTTTGCTCCAGTCCTGTTGCTTTCGCTTGTTGGTGTCACAGGGAAGTCACTGGTGACCTCACACCAAACCCGGAAGTGCGGCGGTCCCCTTGCAGAAAAGAATGCTAGTCCTTCCAAGTCTCTGCACCAAGCCATGTCAATGGGCGAGAGTGCAAGTATTTGGTGGCAAGAAGAATGCTTCATTTGGCTGTGGGTCAAAACCAATGGTACCATTTGGGGTAGGTGAATTCACCACCCATTTTAGAACCTATTTCAGTGATTGGGATTTTGACCCACAGCCACTTGTGCAAGCCAAAGGACTTCGCCTCTGACCCTCAAGAAACGTTCTCCTCCGCGCCCCCAGGCTGTCCGTTCTCCTCCGCTGGCGGAGATCATCGTGAGCTTGGACGTCACGCCGGCGCTGGCCGCGCCGGTGGCCCAAGAACCTTGTGGACCTATGCAAGCTGGTGGCTCAAAATTAAGCAAGGGACCGCAGATTTTAGTCCATGTTTCCATTTACCAGGTTGAATTTTGGGTACCCATGTTTGACCCGCAGCCAGCTGGTTTGCACCCGGGCTCCTTTGTAAGCAGAAAATAAATGGTGGATCCCATCCCCTTAGAAAGCGGAAGCCTGGAAATTGGGATTCGGTGTTTCTTTCCCTCGGTTCCCAGGGCTTGGTTTGGCTTCTATGAAGAATCAACATACTGAAGAATGAGTTGCATGGTGCCAAAACAGCAACATGGCTCTTGCCCACGTGGTGGGCTCTTTGAAAGATGTTATAAATATGCTGTGGGTTCCCCTGTAATAGATTGTCCGAATCTATTCGTCCAAAGGTGCATTTGGTTCCAAAATCCAAGCGCACCATGGATTGGTTCCTGTGGTATCCCTTGGTTTTCCAACGCCCAAAAGTTTCTTCAAAGCCCGGGCAGTTGGGAGGAAAGGCAACAGCGATTGCCAGGGAAGACATCAGATGTAATCCCCTTCAGCTGGCAACTGATGTCCTACAGTGCAGGTTGCAGCTGATGCTTATGTTCACTTCTATGAAGCTGTCATCCCCCCCAAGCATCGTATGGAAGAAGAGGGGAAATCGCCAACCCCTGGCAAGTTGCTCGCAACGCATTTAAGTAAATATAAAGGGACCCAACCTCAGGCATGCTTCCTTTCCTCTAGGTCCAGGTTTCTCCTGGTTTGCGGTGGAAATAATTGCTAAGCTTGGCGTGGGGCATGTTTGCAGCCTCTCCGACCCAGAGGAGTTTGAAAGTGCTGCGCAATCCTGCGAAAGTAATGTATGGAATGGAGGTGGCGTACCCTTAAAGAGGCCCTGCCCAATCCAAACATTGAGTGGGTCCTAAAAACATGGAGTCCCAAAACTCGATCAAACTAGTGGCTTCCTTTGATACCACCGAACAGGGTGCCCTCCAAATATTTGGCGTGTCTCTTTCGGGTGGGACAAATGTTGAGAGAGGGACGAGACTTTCGTTCTCAGGCCCACGGCCTTGCGCGTGATCTCGCCCCTGGGCTTCAACTTCACGGAGAACTGCATGGCCCCGCCGCGGCCTTGAGACGAAAGGTTTGTGCTAGGCGTCGGTGGAACCCACGTGGAACGCACCCTGGCCCTTCCTGAAAAAGCTGCTCCAAAGCACTCCGTGGGCAAATCTGGGCAAAGACCCCAGAACTTAAAGTGGTGTTGGGGCACATAAACAACAACTGCTATAGGTGGATGGAAACGACAAATGCACCCCAAAAGTGAAACAAACATGTGTTGCATTCTCGGATTCATCAGCCAGGAGGGCGTGATAAATCCAGCGTTAGCATTTCCAATCTACCCTCAAGCATAATGTGGAACCTGAGTGACAGGAATCAAATCGGCGTTTCCATTGAAGTATCCTTGGGGTTCCGTGGGTATGCAAAGGCTCTGCATCAAATAGACCAACCCTTTACTCAAAAGGGAACGTAGGGTTTTGTCATTTGTTCGCTTTTGCGGTTGTCTCCAACAGAGGGCAGTTAGTTTCATTGGCATGTACCAGTATATCAACCAGCGCTCTATTTGGGAAATCCATAGACCCCCGCAAACCTTGGAAAGAAGTTTCCGTGAGAAGTTGGTTCATCCCGTGACCACTCAATGGTGCGGACTGTCGTGCAGTGCGCAGGCAATGGCACAAGCTTCTTTCTACCATGCGGGTTTGTCCTGAATGGGGTTCCTATTGCACACTTCATCCCTTTTTCCTCGTTCAAGGTTCCTTTTCGGAGTGACTTTCTGCGCTTTTGCCCCCCGGGTGCCTCCATCAGGGTTTTCCATGGCAAGTGCGAGGGCGAATTTCCCGGACTTCTTGGCAACCCCCATAAAGAATCGAAGATCACTGCAAATAGGGTCCAAAAAAGGAAGTCTGCCTGGATGAGTTGGCCCCAAAGCTTGTTTTCGGGCGAGAGCATCCCAAGAAATGCCCAGGGGCGAGTCCATCTACATCTCTGACTGTCAGCCCGGGCAGCCCACCCCGAGCGGGCGAAGCACTGCTACCTTGCCTGGAGCCCCTGGAGCTGTTTCGTTACCAAGACTGCCTCCCAGGGAAACATATGTGTGTGTATGTGTGTGTGTGTGTGTTTGGGTCTATGTGTGTGTGTGTGTGTCAAAAAGGGGAACCTCGAAATGGGCTTCGGGTGGCCTTTTGATTTCCCTTTCAACCAGCCCGAAAAGGGTACCCTCTAAACAGCTCGCACAAACACACATCCCCAAAACCACCTGCTTGGCAAGGAAATCCTTCTAATCAGCTGGTAAAAGTGCTATTTTTTGAGGCCCACACGTACTGCAGTATCTGTTGATGCATGTGTCACCTCACCAGACGACCCACCGCTTTTCCCTTGGAGGGAGGTTCCCTTGACCCAAGCTACGAAAGGGTGTGTGGTGACTTTGGAGCGCTGTGAACCAAAAACCAAGCTCGTCGCAGGCCGCGAGCCGCATGTTTGGCTTCAACAGCATGTTTGCTACATGTGGGGGGGGTCGACTTATGTGCGGATAGCGCTTTTTCGGGATTGGTTAGCGGAAATGCAAAAGAAAGCCAAGCTTTGAGGGGTCCTACTTGGCTTGGAGACAAACCCATGCTAAAGTTCCGTACTGCGGACAATCAAAGCTTGCAGGCGTGGCGAAACGGCATGAACATGTTTCGCCTGCCCAGCCCCATGCATCAAAATTGGAAGGTCTTTTTGGGGCCATTCAATTTAGTTCGGTTTTGGGACCTTTGAGGCGAAGCCAAAAGAACATCAGCCATTTGGCAGGGTTTTAGGTGCATTTGAAGAACAACAAAAGCACGCCAACTGTTTGGCAGGGCTTGACGCATATTTTGCATCGGCCCGAGCGGCAGCTCATTGAAGGCCGACAACCCCATTCTAGTTAATCAACCTATGAAGGCGGGGGGTGGTCAATGGCCTCTTTTGGACCAACCCTGGTACCGCCTGCCGCCTTTCGACCTGTGAATTTTGCCCCCCCAAGCCCTGAGAAGTCGAAGCACTTCCGTAAGCTTCCCAAGGACGGTGCGCGGTGCACCTGCAGCCCGCAGCCTCAGAGCAACGAAGCAGCGCCATTTGCACTTCTCAGCGCCCGAGCTACTGAACAAACACATGGCACGCACGCCCACGCGGAGGCTCAGAAAGCACGCCGCTAAGCGAACGCCCTACGCCAATGTCTTTGTTTTGTGTGCCGGGTTTCCTTTTCACCTTGGTGTGAAGGGAAACCAAAAGGAACACTACTATGGGGGGTGCCCTATTTTGATGAATATCCATATGATGTGACTTACATGTTCTGTGCTTTGCTTGTCACTTGGATGAGTGAAAACTTACATATGAAACTGATGCTGGTCCTAAAGGGAGGTGTATGTATTGCTGCGTTGATGCAATTTGTGAATCTCATGCTGGTCCCAGTGGGAGGTGCGTGTATAGCTATGCTGATGTGTTTTGGTGTTCCAAGATAGCCAGATGGCCGCGTGTCAATTGTGACAGGCCCGCAAACCTACATGTTGAGATACCATACTTGCATTGAGCATTAAACCACGATGACAACTTCTCCGAATTCAAGTCTTATGACTAACAGATTTCAGACTTCAACCTGCAAAGAATCCAGCAGGAAGATGTACTCATGCTGCTTGAGCCATGGTAGCTATAGATTGGGCACCATTTTTCAGGCCAATGGCTTTGAACCACTGGGCGAAGCTAGGCAGAAGTTGGGCGGGCGAAACAGCCAACATCTGTATATCCGCCGATTTCCCGTAGAAATTCAACTGTCGATTTCACAAAGAACATTCGAGATTTCCAGCAGACCAACTTGAGGCTGGCCTGAAGATGGGCCTGACATGGACACCCACCCTCCTGACAAGGTCCCTTTTAAGAGCAAATTCGTCTTTCAGGTATCCTCTGGCAGCTTATGTATTCGTTTGCGCGAGGGAGCGCACATGTTTGAACCGAAACGGGTCTTGGACGTTGGACATTTTGAGAGGCAGCAGCTCCAAGTCGGTTCAGTTTTTGCAGATTATATGCAACACTACACCGCATTCCGAATTCTGTCTTCGTGATTGCCGCAAGCGCAGCAGAAGCTGCTAGACAGCCTTTGTGGTAGATTGTATGTGCAGTCCCAGCAAACAATGCAACACTAAGCCGTTTAGCTGGTCTGAACATTCTATGGCATTGGGTTGAAGCAAGCTTCCTTTGATTGCCCATGCTACAACCTGCAATCTTTGTTGGAACCACATGGCCCCTTAGACCATGAACAAGAAGCTATTGGATTCGCCAATGAACAAGCAGCGTACGATAGTTCTTGCGGGGTTGTTTTGAAAGGCACTTGTGGGAAACCACCCTGGGCTGGGCTCCATTCATTTTTAGAGATATTCATGGGCGAGCAACACCTGTGCTGCCTTGGGAAAGGGTTAACGGGAGGCCTTTCGATTTTGCTTGGGTTTTCTAAAGGGCCCCCAATTGACATTCATATCCACCTTTACCCATGGCAAGTGTAACATTGAGATGGTTACCCATCCCATGTCGGCTAGAGCAACTATTGTACTGACCAGAAGGTGGACATTCTATCATACACCCGTGGAGCTTGTGACAAGAGGGAGAGCTTGGACTAGCCCACGATAGCATCAGTTAAGCCATTAGCCAAGGGGGCAGGTCCTATCAAGGGGTTTACGTTGCCACCGAGGGCTGATTTGGCTTTTGCTTTTCCCCTGTGGATAGACCAGGCGCAGAGCTTGTGCACATGCCCAGGTAGGCTTGGAAGGTGCTGCCAGAGGGATCCTGTGCTGCTGGCATTTTATTGACTTGGCTGAACTCCGCATCCTCGAACCTTGTGAGTTGCGTTTCTAAGCCGATGGTTCTTGTCTGGACAGGCCTTTCGGGGCACCGTCCAAAGAAAAAGCGCTAGTAGTCCGAGTTCGTGTTTCTTGGTGGGAGATAATGTGCATGTGCAAAAATATACGGGTTAGATGATTGCTGCACATGTGTGAGTTGGTTTGCTGCTTCTCACTGTTGCTGTCACTGTTGCTGTTGCTGTTTGGCTGTTGCTGTTTGGCTGTTGCTGTTTGACTGTTGCTGTTTGGCTGTTGCCGTTGCTGTTGCTGCTTCCAGATGATGGCACACTTTGTGACTTTAACAGGTTCCATGTCTTGTCCGCCTGATCGATCCGCGTATCAAGAAGACTTGAAATTGTCCTCCAACCGCAAGTCTTGGGAATGGTGTGTTTCCTTTCGTTACACACTTCTCCGGGATCTCAAACTACCCAGACGCTCCCTTCGGCTTCGGCTGCCACTGGTGTCTTCCAGACCCCTCCGTTGGACACCCTGGAGCTGCTTGAGAGCCAAAAAGATCGGACATATCGTGGGAGCAGCAGCCTGTGTTGATCTGTTTTTTGGAAGGATCCACGTTGACGAGGGCCCTATCTATGCGCGATTGTTGCTATCTTTCTGCCTATTTTATGGCGAGCCCATCGATGCAGGCATGAAGCGAGCTCACCACGATGTAGAACCTTCACTTGGGGAGCCAATCCTTGTTTCAGGTTTTGTACTTGTAAAACTTGCCTATCTTTCCATGGCAGACATGCTGCATCCCTTGCCAGGGTCAAGATCATGTCGCCTACGCAGACTCCGGTGGCAAAGGAGTGGTTCATCGAAGGCCGATGTGCATGTAATCTGCGCCTGGCCTCGTTTCCGTCACGAGTGAAACTTCCTCACTGAGGAACAACTCTCGTCTCATTCCCTGAGTTCCTGGACTCTGCACTTTTGGAGAATAAGACCATTCTAGTGGAAAATCAACAGTTTAGACAGTTTGGCCAATGCTCTCTGGAAGCGAACACATGGTTGAACCGAATATGTTCGCAGCATGCGTAGCACGTTACTGGCCGAAGTTGAGTTGCCGCACTTAGGCTGTAGCAGCTTTGGATGCGTACAAGTCCTTGCGCAGGACCTCCTCGGAAAACATGTTTCATGGTGTGTTTGAAGCGATCTTACCGCATTATTCCAGACAGTTGGAACCCCCCCCCACGCTTTGCCCATCCGGACGTAGGCGAGACACCCGGTGGTTGAGGGCTCACACTTCCACTAAGCGTCTTTTGGACCATTGGAGGTTGCCCGCAGATGTTTGAACTTGACTCCGGGAGCCTTCAGGGGAGTCATATTATGTCCACTGGTCCGCTCGCCATTGTGATGGTGGCCCATATCAAGATTCATGCTCAGATTCGTGTGCATGTGTGTACCTGGTGGGCACACGCTTGACCCTCGTTCCAGCGAGGCACGCTGATCCCAGTTCTTTCAACTTTCTGATCCCAGTTCTTCAGTCTCTCCTTTGCTTCTTTGGTGCATTTTGCCTTTCGGGATGTTGGGACTGAACAACTTTTTGATCCAACTCATGGGGTTGTCCAAATTGAACCACCAAAAGGTAAACTTTTAGCAGGGAGCAGAAAGCAACCGAGGTTTGTGGCAACTGCATTCTCTTGGCATGGATGCCCTGCCGCACAAACCCCGTGGGGGGCCCCCATCAGATGCTCAACACGCCTCGCAGGTGTGGACGTCCTGTCGGACCGGCAGCTAGGTGCGGCTCGGTTCGGTTCACAGTGCCGTGGCTGGCGCAATGGGCCATCCGAGATCAACCGGGTGCAGCGGGCAGTGTCCAGTTTTGGTATAAGGGCCTGAACAATGGAAACAACGCACTTATAATGTTGCGTGGCTCCCGGTTTTTATCACTGGAATTCGCACAGAGAGCAACTCGTTTCTGCAAGTCATTCACACGCCTTGCAGGTTGGGGACAAGCTTCTGGCGTCGACGTTCTTCCGATGCAGGACAGATCCTTCGTAAATCGCTGCATTTCAAGAACTAGCACACTCGCCCAAAGCTGACCTGTTTTCCTTCTAATTTGCCCATGCTGGTCCATGTTTTGTCAACGACCAACGACCCAAAAGGTAAACCGTTGATTTCCATGTCGTTTATGAAGAAAGCTTGCCACAGGGCCTTGAGCATAAGGCAGATTATTCTGTTTGTTCCCGTGCTTTGTCGATGTGAGGCTTAGCCAACATCCGGCAGGGTTAGCACTGTGGCCCGATACCTTCCTGCGAGTTCTGTTTCGAATGCCTGGAGGTTTGATTAGATGGCCGTTAGGGACATATCGAAATGGCAGGCAATGGTTTTGCGTCATGGTGGCTTGCATTGTCCGCAAGACACAACGACGCCTCAGCTGGGAGCCTATGGCTCTGTCGATGTCACTGAACGTGACCCCTACACACTGATGCTTCCAGAAAGCAGCGGAGTTTCAGGAAAGACGAGAGAGTGAAGAATGTAGTGAAGATTTCCTACCGTGGATTGCGGGGGTTGGGACAAGCTATCCATGCGACTGCTCCGATTGGTGACTCTAACGTGAAGGCTGCCGTCGACACGGATCCAGTTGTGGTTGCAGCGTATGTGGCCAATTATGCCAGCATACTGAGCAGGGTGTCCCAGATGAGATGAGGTAACCAGGGACACTCTTACGCGCTCATGCTTTGCACTTTACTGTCATTGAAGATGTCCACACCCTAGGGCCGTCTACAGCATGCTGCATTCCCTTTCCATAGGGCCGTAATCAAAGGGCAGTATGCTCTCTTGCATTTGTGTCCCCACTCTGTGTTGATGAAGGCACGACAGTTGGCAGTCTTTCATGACGAAGATGAATGATGAGCAAGAATAACTTGCGCCAGATCACTGAAATGCTCCAGATCAAAACGCTGGAGGTGAATGAGAAGCAGAGGAGGTTTGCCTTGCCGGTCTGATGTCACCAGACGGGTCCCTGCAATGTGTGCTCGGTGGCAGGCGATGTTTCAGCGCAGGTGTCTTCTTATAGTGGCCGCAGTGACGAGCGCAGATGGCAGTGAAGTGTATCATGAATCCTTGTGGTTCCGCCGCTGGACTATGTGCGGCCGAAACGTTTCGCCTTCTGCTTCATGCGTTGTGTAAGCGCTTTGCGGCGATGGTTTTCTGGCCTTTCGCGGCAGGAATAACGCAAGTGGCGGCAGACATGCGTTCTCCAAAAAGGGGCCATGAGTGCAATGATAGGCTTTCCCGGATCACGCAGCGGGATTGTGTTTTGGACTGTTTGCAGGGTGGTGTGAGGTGTTCGTTGCCTGTTCTTGGCATTTGTCGCCTTTGGGCGGATGGTTCATTTGGGAGGACATGTGGGAACTCACCAAAAGTCTGACAAAAACAGGCAACTCACTAGTTGTCTCGTGTCCTGTTGGCAGAGGAAATATATTGAACCGTGCCTGATAGGTGTGTGTGTGTGTGCGCGTCCTTGGGGGGTGGTCCGTCCCCTGTGTGTGTGTGGGTTTGAAATGCGCGCATGGTTGGCATCGTGCTACCGGAGGGCAATCACGTGTCCTACTTGGCACACGTATTGGGATGATTTCTTTCAGCTTGTTCGCGGACAGCTGCACTCTTTTGGAGCTGCAGGATACGATGGTCATCTATCCCGGCTTCACGGGTGTGCGAAGCCGAGTGGTGCGCCCCATTTGCTGCGCACGTTGAGACGGGTGTTTTTGCGTCAGGGTGGCAATAGGTGGTTTGCATCCAGGTTGCCTTTTACCGAACCCCAAACGAGCTTGAACCCCCAAAGTGCGATCAACTCCACTCACATGGAAGCAAACTACTGGAGGGCTCCGCTCAAATGACCTTCCGCAACCCTCTGTCATTGCCAGCTTCCATGATAGTGTACGGGACGGTAGTTTTCCATTGCTTTTCGAATAAAACCATAGAGGGATTGGACTGCACATACTGGGAGACAACCCGTTTGATGCTTGCCCGTGCGCAGAGCTTTCCAGCTTGAATCGAGGTTTCAAACACTTGGGCTTTGCGAATGTCTTCTTGAGCAGCTCTTGAAAATCGTAGAATTCCAAGAAGTCGCGTGCTAGAGCGAACCAATGCAGATGATATGGGTTTGCCTCCCAATCCCTCCCCCTGTTTGTTTTCAAAGAGCCCCCAAAATAGTAGCAACGCAAAACATCATACACCCACATGCCTCTTTTATGAAGAGGTCTCTCGTGGCAGCCAGCATGAAGCCAACAGCAGACCAGAAGGACGCCGGTGACGTAAGATCGCAGGCGCAAGGCAAAGAAGAGAACCGAGACACGGGAGCAGGAGCCTGCAGTACCTCGAGCCATGTGTCGCTGAGAAAACGCGGTGTATCTGTTGCGGTTCGGGGATAGGGGGCTCAAAAACTTAACGGCTTAACTTAAGTTGCCCCCCCCCCCCCGGATTGCGGGGTTTGCTGCCTCCATTGGCTGTCTGGTCAAGAATCGACCTTACTGACCAGCTCGTGGAACCGGCCATGCTAAAATCGGGGGACCCAAAAATGGCAGGTGTCCTTTTCACATCCCTTGAAGCAAAGGGAGTGTTTGCATCCCCAGCTTCCGTATTTTGTTTCGAGTACCGTTGCCACGCTAAGCAACAAGTTGGGGAATTTGTCGAGTTTACCAAGTGTCGGGTTTGCGGCGTTGGCGCAATTTCCTGTAAGGACAAAGGAGTAGTCGAGGGCCACGCCCAGCAATAAATTGCTTTCATACATACCCCCCACCCTACATTTTTTTTCATCTTCCATCTTCTACCCTTATTTGTTTTCATCATTTTTCTACATTCCTTTCTGTCCATCTCATCCGTTTTTTTATCATCATTTTTCCAAAATTTTCGCCATCCTTTTCTCCTTCCTCCTCGCCTCATTCATTTCACCAACTACCCTCCAAAATGTCATTTCCTCAATCTCCTCACCTCATCCATTTCAAAAAAATAAATTTTGCAAAATATATTGCAAAAAATATTTGTCATCAAAAAAATATTCGAACTGTCTAAAAACGATTTGTCCATTTCTCGGACAAAAAATAGAACAGCAACAACATCACTCCCTCCTTCGTTTCATCAGTTTCATCATATATTTTTTTGGGCGTGGTCGCATAGCTTGCGAGCTTCGCTAACGCTCGCATCCTCCTTGTAGGATTTTATCTTCAATATATAAAACGCTATACTGACATTATAATTATAACATATAAGGGTATAAATGTTATAATCATAGTATGGTTATGAAATTAATTATGATTACTCAACTTCTGAGTATTGTTACTCGACTTCTGAGTATTTTTACTCAACTTCTGAGTATTTTTACTCAACTTCTGAGTATTGTTACTCGACTTCTGAGTATTTTTACTCAACTTCTGAGTATTTTTACTCAACTTCTGAGTATTTTTACTCAACTTCTGAGTATTTTTACTCAACTTCTGAGTATTTTTACTCAACTTCTGAGTATTTTTACTCAACTTTTGAGTGGGGTTTTGGGTCGGGGTTGTGTGTGTGTATTTTCTTTCTGGGCCCGCCCCTAATTCAAACTCATCAAAATTTCCAATATTAAATCACTAGGTATTTTATATAGGTCTTCTTGCTTATGTATTGTTGGGTTGTCTCCCCATTTTTCCTTGGTGCTCGATGGTAGCCGTTGTGCTGTTTCAATATGTTTATTATTCCTGATGTTGCCACAATCCTTTTTACATAATTCTCTAGGTTTCCAAGTTGTAATGTTATTCCAGAGCCTAGTGCGTTTTCTGTAAGGCATTCCATATTTACAATAATCAACATCTTTAAAATCAAACTCATCCATAAACTCCTGATGTTTTAATAATCCAGTTTGTGGATTTTCGATTACAACATATTTAGGATTGAAATATTTGATAACCTCAATAGTTTTTAAGACAATACTATTTGCATATTCGATATTCCTAATTACCCTAGTTTTTGCTATGCTGTATTCAGTGCATGGGGGACTACTCCAAATAAAATCAAAATGGTTTCTGTCAAACTGTTTGTAATCCCACTCCAAAATATCAGTGTTGATATCAGCATTTTTCAAGTCTAATGATATCACATTAAATCCAAGCGACTTTGCTATGGTTCCGACGCTTTTTGTTCCACTAAATAATTCTAATAAATTCATTTATTAGAATTATTTAGATTATTAATTATTCAAATAATGTATATACTCCATCATCATTTTTTGAAATTTTATAAAATTCTAAAGTGGTGCTTTTAGGTTGTTTGATTTTTCCTGTATTCAACATATCACAGTATTTCTTTTGCTTTGTCGGGTAGTCGCCCGATGGTCTTCCTATAGATTTTGCTTGAAATATCTTTTCGATTTTTTCTTTATCTTCATTGCGTTCAACTGGTTTCATTTTGTCATCAATGGATTTAATCATATCATTTAAGTTTTTTGATATTTTTACCAATTAATGTTATCTTCTTCATTAAATCATTAATAGTATAATTTTCATTTTCAGACATTACTATATATTTATTTAGATATTTATTTATTTAATTATATATTTTTCATCATTTGTTTAACAGTTTCCTGTGTTTCGTTTTCATTATTATCGGATGGTGTTGCTTGCCTACCAAATTTAAAAGTTATATTATGAACATCCGTTTCCAGATTTATACTGTCTTTAGTTTTATCAATATTCATTGTCTTATCATTTTTACTTATTTTGAAACTTGTTGGAATACATGAACATTTACAATTTTTATTATTTTTTATTTCTAACTCATTTTTAAGTTCTAACATCTTTTTGCACATAGGACAAGCAACCTCAATTACTGCTGTTTCTTTAACAATTTCTCCGCTATCTTCATCTGTTGAAGAAACACTTAAACCTGTCTTATTTTTGTTTTTCTTTTTCTTTTTCACCATTTATATTAATATTTACATTTTTATTTTTGATATATTGTATTCCTAGCTTAAGTATTTCTAATGAATAATAACAACATTTCTTAATTTTATTATCAGTTATTATTACTTGTTCTATATTCTCTACTTCATCTATTATATTAATATAATCTGTATAACTCCTTTTCATATTAAATAATAAGATAAATTATTTGTTCATTTCTGTCTTTCTTTTCTTGTAAAGTTTTTTCATTGTATCGTCTTTATTCCATCTATATTCTACAAATTTCTGATGATATTTTGAATTTAGATGTTTAAATAAATATTTGTCATCATAAGTTTTACCACAACTGCAATGGATAATAGTCATATAAATAATAAGATAAAATATTTATTTAATCTTATTATTTTCATGCATGATATAATATTCGGAGGGCACAGCACTTGGGGTTTTCATTGCACACGCGAGCGAGATACAAACTAATTAGCTTCAATGCTTATTGATTGAAGCAATGGAAAAGCCTGTTCCATTTTTATGATATTCGCCACCAGCATATCATAAAAATGATGTTCCATTTAATAATAATTACAAGTTAATTTTTAAATATAATTTTCTATATTTCTTTAATATCAACTATGTCAGATGTTCCAATAATAAAACCAATAAACATAACTGAATATGAATTCAAACAATCCAAATATGAGCACGTGCCAAAACTACCATTTAGAAGTATTATAGTCGCGAGTTCAACGGGCGGGAAGACTGTCCTTATTCAAAATTTAATATTGAATGTTTATAGAAATTCATTCGCAAGAATATTTATATTTTCCCCCAGCGTCCATAACGACCCTACATTTACAGAAGTTAAAAAATATATCAGGGACGAATTGCACGTAGATGATGAAAAAGAACAAATTTATTTTGATAATTATAATCCAAGTGATTTAGAAAATGTAATTGAAAGACAGAAGAAAATAATTAATTATATGAAATCTAAAAAGATAAAGAAACTGCATTCAATATTAATTGTGATAGATGACCACGCAGACGACCCTAAATTTGTTAGATATAGTAAATTATTACATGGATTATTTACAAGAGGCAGGCACGATGCAGTAAGTGTGATTTGTTCAACACAAAAATACAATGTTTTAGCGCCTATCATTCGTTTGAATGCCAGTTCATTATATATTTTTAGGTTGAAAAATGCCAGTGAGCTAATGAGTTTTATTGAAGAAAATAGCGCCATTGTTGATAAACAGCAATTATTAGATATGTATCATCAAGCAGTGAATTTTGCTCCATATTCTTTTTTCTACGTGAATATGAATTCAAAAGACATTAACAACATGTTTCATATCAATTTTGAACAGGCATTTCAAATTACAAATGATGAATAAAGATATTCTAATTTAATATAATATATTAATATGGTTATAAAACAATGTAAATGCGGTGGATTTTATCGTAGAGGTAATTATAATTTTCATACTAATTCTTGGATACATAAACTTTATAAGGTATTGAAAAGAAGGGCAACAGACGAGGAATTATTACGATTTCAAAATAATTTTGTTGATGAAGAAGATTTAATAGACGATATGTGTAGCAATGCTTCAACAAAATTACCCGAAAGTGAAATGACAGATTATGATAGCAATTAATAGCATTAAGCCATTGGCTTAATGTTATTAATTCAATATAAAGAATAACTGCATAAATTCAAAGCAGGTAATTTATAATATATTTTATCTTTTTTACATTCATTAACTTTTTCTAATTTATTGATTATTG